ATTAATTATCACCGCGGCAAACTTTTCACCGCTTATCGCGTCATCGTTTCCGTTAAGTTTATTTCACCCCCAGAACGGAATATTCCATGCTTCGCATTTCCGTTCGGTAAGATAGACCGAGATAGACCAGATTTGGACTACCGAGTGATTCGCCAAAAAGTAAAATGATTCGATGTTAAATAATAGACCCGAGAATAAATTAGTTTAGATATCATAAAAGTTACCCTTAATGTATTTTGATCATGAATAATCATGACATTTCTGCTAATGTTCTTTTTTACCACAAGTTATTTTGTATTTTGCTACTAAAATAGAATAGCTTTGCTTTGCATATCCGTTTGGTACACTTTAAGAAAAAAGGGTGCAAAAAAGGGTGCAAAATAAGAGTTTGCACCCTTTACATAGAAATGAACCCTATTGAAGGAAAAGGGGTTTAAAAAAAAAGGTGCAATATAAGATTTTGCACCCTTCCCACAAAAGTGAACCCTATCGACCAAAAAAGGGTGCAAAATAAAATTTTGCATAGTGCATGTACACTCATGATTACTTTACACGTGTTCACATAAAAATGCATTTATCATGATTTGTTAAGCAAATTATGACAGTGCACATCAATTTTGTGATTTGTATTTTCCTTCGGCAATCATTAACTAATATATTATTTTGTCTGATCATGTTACAATTACATTCACGTTTTAGCAATTACTAATCAAGAAACAACATGCATGTTTTATATTTGTGTACGAGCAAATTTCTCGAGTATTCCTCGAGTATGGGTGCAGGATTGCACCTTTTAAAGGGTGCAGGATTGAATCCCTAAAGGCGCTGCCATTGCATCGGTTTGCACCCCTAATGGAGCAGGATTGAACCATTAAGGGTACTAACATGTCTCCTTAAAGGTGCAATCTGGCACCCTCTTAAAGGGTGCAGGATTGAACCCATAAAGGTGCTGCTAATGTTGCATCGGTTTGCACCCCCTAAAGGTACATGATTGAACCATAAAGGGTACTAACATTTCCCCTAAAAGGTTCATTCTGGCACCCTTTTAAAGGGTGCAGGATTGCACCTTTAAAAAGGGTGCAGGATTTAACCCCTAAAGGTGCTGCCAGTGTTGCATCGGTTTGCACCCCTAAAGGTGCATAATTGCACCATTTTTTTCTTAGTGTGTATGATAGAACAGTTTTTACAAAGCCTTTTAGAAATGAAAAATGTCAAAAATCAGTAACAAATCTGCCGATAATCAAACAATCAGAAGCAAGTAATTCACTAGCTTATAACAAAAAATGTCATTTGTCACTGATGACAAGTTTTGTGACATTTGGACCAAGATTTTGGACAACTGAATAATTCTAAGTTTAATGGTTTTGATTCTATGAGTAATACTTTACCCCATAATATCTGTTGTTGTGTAGGCGACACATCATATTTCTCAAGCAAGTTATGCACATATTTAATGATTGTGATCATTAATGTTCCTTTTTTTTAAATTGCCATATAAATGTATAAGCTTAATATTGTACAAATTCTCACCACGCGTTGTTTGAAATTTCTTCAATTCTGAGGATGACTGGAGAAAGAATGATATACAATGAATCCTATCTACAATGAGCGACTATTATTAAAGGAAGGAATATTGGGAAGGCGGTATGGATATATATACAAGACGTGAGGAAATCTGATCAGGGTGTTTCAACGCCGTTTCCCTAAAATTGCCCCGCCCTGTACCGAGAGAGGGCAGTAAGGTCATCCTGCGCGTACTGCTCGTTGATACGTTGTTTTTAAAATAAGTAGCATATATTGTTTATAATAAGCACATGTAGAGCATCGAATTCATCGAACATATTACGGTTGGGCTGGAATGAAGCTGTTTGAAATCTATTATTTTTTTCATCCATGCAAACATTATAAAGAACACTCGAGTAACGACATTGCTTGAGCATGTAAACATGATGGAAACACAGTCAACAACATGCTTGGCATGGGGCCTCCCAGTCAAGAATAAAGAAACAAACAAACAACAAATTTACAACCCCAGAAACCCAAACATAATTTGTTTGTTTCTAATTTTTAAAAGAAAAAAAACAAAACATCTGAAGAAGATGCTAAACTATTAACTTTTCTTTTCAATTTAAGATGTCTGGTTGCACGTTAGAAATATGAAGCCCGATTAGTAACCAAAAAGTGAGTAGAAATATGAAGCCCGATTCGTTCACCAAAAAGTGAGTAATTTGGCTACGCCAGGGCGAGGGGGGGTTCTTCGGGACTGCCTCCGAAAACACATAGGTGAAATATAAAAATGTTGTGTGTTATAAGTCGGGGGAGGGGGACTACACCCACTTCTAGCTATGCTGGATACGCCTCTGAAGCAATCTATAATATCATGTTGTAATAAAACTTGCCCGAAGTTGGTAGGCCTATTATGTTTTTATGCAAGAATTGCAGTGCGGATGGCACTCTGTAGGCACATTGTTAGACAGTAATATTTTCTAAAGTAGACCCCTTGAAAATTACCTCTTGAAAATGTCCATGCCGTCATTATTAATTAGAACACAGAGGAGTATCATACAGCACGAGGGTCGCCGGAGGGTAGCTTTGATGTTAAGCATGATTGGTAAAGGCTGAGTAGTGACTTGCAAAAGAAAGTGGCCCACATATGACAATGTTAATACCGTTGACTCCACCCCACCCCTTACGAAACAATGGATTACTCATCATAACCACGAGATTTAAATAACAACCTGAGGGGGTGTGTAAGGTAAATGGCACATTTAGATCTACTGATTAAGTAGCGTAGAAAACATTGTTTTCGACCCGGCATGCTATTCATATTTTAGATACCGTTATACCGGCAATTCGGACGCCATCCTCCCCCCACCCCCCCCCCCCCCAATTACCATCATCTCACAAACTACAAATTCGTCCTATGTGAGAAACACGTAAATACCAAGCTAAATAGTATAGAAGCAGTTCAGGGGCATGGAAATAGGTCTTAATATTTTTCAATTGATAAAAAGAATTGCTAAACTTGTTAATAATCATTATTTAAAAAAAATTAATGATGAAATTAGGAGCTATGTTAAAAATGTCCAGTTTTATCTTCGGGTATTTCGTTTATGGTGCGTGCCATAAACATAAAAAAACACATTCTGAAGAGAAGACTTAGTGTGTTTTTTTTCTCACGCAATACCGTAATACTAATAATGATAATAATTTTGCTTCACTTTATTTCATTATTACGCGGTTCTAACACATTTTTAAAGACAAATTAAAAAAACATTTGTTCTCTTTTTTAAATGTCAAATTGTAGTTTTAAGATATATTTTCGCCCATGACTTTGATATAAGATGAAATCTTTATATTACAAGCATGCCCGTGACATAACGATAAGCCTGCTGCGTCAAGGACGGATGTTCGCACAACATGGTCCCCGGTTCGTTTGGTGACGCATTTGTATTTGGGGCCTATTTGGAGAAAATTGAAATAAATGAAAATGAATTTGAAGAAAGTTGTTCTTGAACATGCCATTGGAATATTCGCAGCAAAACGGTTTCGTCCATCCCCTAGAAATATCTCTGTCTCTGTCTTTCTCATTGTCTCTGTCTCTGTCTCCGTCTCTGTCTCTGTATCTATTTTTCTCTCTCTCTTTCTCTCTCTCCATGTCTCTCTCTCTCTCTCCGTCTCTCTCCGTCTCTCTCTCTCCGTCTCTCTCTCTCTCTCTTTCTATCCCTTTCCCTCTGTCTGTCTGTCTGTCTCTCTGTCTGTCTGTCTGTCTCTCTCTCTCTCTTTCTTTCTCTCCACCACTTTAGTTGACTCCAACATCTTTTTCGAGGCAGGTAAATGTAATATAAAACGGGCGTTCGCCTAACAGACACCGTTTTCCGGGGGGTGGGGGGGGGGGGGTGAGCAAAATGTTGTTGTCCGGCTGAATAATTAATGATCGCCCAAAGCAGTTCATGCAGACAGCATTTATCATGTCGAGAGGGCCAGACATATTTGGTATATAGAGTTTAGCTTCAATTTCAACTTTAAACACAAAATACAAATATCTGAATAAGTACAACCGAAAGTGGTCATTAGTTTCCCCCCCCCCCCACCCCCATTTTTAGAATCCCACCTTGCATTCACTCTTTGTGCTCGGATTTACGCATTTCCACCAGAGGATGCTACCACAGAGATTCCCATGGAAACACAGATTAAGCGATTCCGAAGAAAATGTCGGCCCGGGGAGCAGCGAAATAAGATTTGTATTATTTCTAGCATATGCGGTCATTTACTTTAGAAGGTTGTTTTTATAAAAAAAAATGATGCTTGCACATTAGCCAATTAATGTTAAGACTTCGAAAGGGACGTGAAAATGATTTATTTTAATTTTAAATAGGGTGGAACTTTTACATTTATGTTTAGCACCTGAGATATTTCATAACATATTGATGCAAAACCAAAATGAAAAATTAATTCTCTCTTCCTGTCCCCCCCCCCGTCCCTCCCCTCCTCGAATATTGGGGGTATAAAATTAAGGAGAGGGCCGGGAGAGTGAGGGAGAGGGAGAGGGGGAGGGAGAGGGAGAGAGAGAGAGAGAGAGAGAGAGAGAGAGAGAGAGAGAGAAGACGAAAGACGGAATGTGGAGGAGATGTAGATAGAAGGGGCACATGTCCAACGGGAAAAGGACACTTATTTCTAAAAAAAAATAATAAGGGTTTTTCAGCAATAACATTTTTTCTGAGGAAAGATATTCCCGCCCCCACCCCCCGTTCCTACGCCAGTGTTTTTGATGAAAAAATGTGAGGTAGAAGAGAAAAACGTTATTTAGAGGGTAATTTAAAACACAATGTAAGAGTTCAGCGGGAATTCAGAAAAATTATTTTGGCCCTCTTTCCCCCCTCCATACTCCTTTTTTTTTCGGGGGGTGGGGGGGGGGGGGGGATGAACACAAACATTGAAGAGGTGTATGACCCCTCCCCTGCGAAAAGAGGGGGATAGGACGGAAATCTGTGTACAGAACTAGCTGAAACAGAACACTAGATGGCGCATTGCACAAAGCGCTAAATTCAACCAAGATGGCGGAACGCATGGCGGTTAATTTGGGTAAGTCTTGGACCATTGTGTTTATCTAAAGTTATATTTTTTATATGCTGTTCTCGTTTTATATCATTATTAGGTAAATTTTGTGTGACAGTGATAGTTTGAATGTCTGTTAGGTATACATAAGTAGTATTATTTGTAATTAAAGTTAAAAAATCACGTGTTTCCTGTCCTGCATTTGCTGCTAGCGGGTCATCTTAAGCGAACATTGGCTGTCATTCACCCCGGAACTCCGGGGGCACGGATTGCTCAGCCTTGGCTCGCCGCACACTCTGCTCTTGCCGTGACGGGGTCGGGTTCGCTCTTGAAGCTGAAGTGAGGATGGATGAACATGAAAGTGATTTAAACATGAGAAGAAAGTTCATTTTCTGCCCAAATACTTGTTGATTATGGTCCACTAATTTAAAATGATGTTAAAGAAGAAAAGAGTTCCTTTTCCTGTTTCAAATTCAACTAAATTCAAGACTGGTCAATTCCTGAAAATCTGGATTTTTAATCAACAACAGTAGGGACGCTGGTCTGAGAATAAGGATCGTCCGCATAAATGAGGATTGTCTACGTAAACGCAGACAGATGCATCTGCAAAAATAAGGATTGTCTGCATTTTCGCAGACATTTCTTATTTCCGATCCTCGCGTTGGCGATGTGAAAAAAACGGATTTCCGCAATGATTTTCTTGACGCATTTTCACATTGACTTTGTACAGGGAAATTCACGTCATGAGCGTTAAATCCTCGGGGAAAACAGACGAATCTTAAAAGTAGATGGTGATCAGGGGTTATTTTATTTTGCGGAATCCGTTTTTTCGCATCTCTAGCGCAAGGTTCGGAATTTGGGAACCCGAAACCAGCAAAGCATCAATGAAAAAATTGTCTGCAAAAATGTGGACAATCCTTATTTTTCGGACGCAAGTTGTCCGTGCTTACAAGACTATCCTCCTTTAATGTGGACGATCCTCATTCTCGGACCAGCGCCCCTACTGTAAGAAACAATGACATTTTGAGGAAATAATTGATAAGACACACAGTGACTTTTCTCAACCTTTCCTCCTTCTGTCCTATTTTTTTGTACTGAATTTTTCATTAATAATAGTCATTTTTTTTTTTTTTTTTTTTGAAGGGGGGGGGGGGGGGGTTGTATTTAGTTATATTTTTTTCTCCTAGATCTAGCCTAGATACCCAGTAGGGGCGCTGGTCCGAGAATAAGGATTGTCTTCACAAACACAAACCAATGCGTCCTCAAAAACAAGGATCTTCTGCAAAAAAGCAGATGTTCCATATATTTGATCGGCACATTGGCGATGCAAAAAACGGGATTCCCGGATGATTTTCTTAAAGCATTTTACGTTGACTTTGTACAGAGACCTTCACATTATGAGCAATAAATCCTTGGGAAGACGGACAACCCATGAAAGTAGACGGTCAACTAGGGTTAGGGTGTCTGAACGATTTTTCAATTTTCAATTTGGGATCGTTTTTCACCATTTTTGTTTGATATTTGAATAAAAAATGTTATCAGAATAATACATTTCAAATTTCAAGTCTCACCGATGTTTCTATCAAAAGTTACAGCCCCTCCAAAACGCTGGTATATTCATATCATTTTGGTCAAAATCGACGAAAAAGACGTCCACGCAGAGTGATGTTGTTTTGCTAAATTTAGCCAAACAGCTGTATCGCGCGATATGCAAGCGTATGCATATCGTACGCATGCTGCTAAGCCAATCCGCGACTTGCAGCTTGAGCTACGCTGTCTCCGCGACATGTGCCATTGACTAGTATGGTTGGCGTTCGTCGCACAATAAACCCGGAAGTGAATGCACGTTATAGTCAATGGCAATATCGCGGAGATGTCTCCGCGATATTGCCATTGACTATAACGTGTATTCACTTCCGGGTTTATCGAGGGAATTGCCAACCATAATTTCAGTCACTATAATGTGTAATTGAATTTGGGGTTTCGTTCGTGCGCGGAGATGTTACGCGATGTAACCATGGTTTGGACTGAGCGGAGCGCACGCCCCCTAATTAGCTGATCCACCAAATAGCGAGAAGGGTATTTTTAAACTGTTATCAGTTGTGATCCCTGGGGGCTAGCGAAAATATAATCACATAGAATTGTTCCTTAGGACTGGGACTACTTATCGATCGGGGCGTCATATCTCAAAAGTGACAAACCTCAGAGTTAGCCAGGACACAATGTTTAAAGTGCTGTTTTGACCAAGATATTTTTAAAATTTCGGGGGCTACGCCCCTTTGGAAATATTGGAATTCACCTGCTCTTTCATATGACACCTCATTCATTGATTATCACCTTCAGGATCACAACAGATAAAGGTTTGAATCTCGATTTGAAAAAAAAATTTTGACTTTTTTTGCATGGTCGCGCAATGCACGTAGGCTGCATAGGGATGCGTGTAATCTCTATGGGAAGAATTTTAGCACACAACATCGGATGCGCGATCAGACACCCTACTAGGGTTATTTTTAACCCTGTAAGTTGGGGCTCTGATCGGATCGGAAGATCGGAGCGACACCCTCGCACCTTTGATCGGTATCGGATCAGAAGAACGACTAAAAAAATTGGCTGATTTTTTTTTTTTTTTTTTTTTTTTATGACAAAAATTTTCAAGTTTTTGGCTATCAAATGCTCAAAAAAAAAATCATGGCTGGGATTATTTTGTCATTTGGAGTTGTTGTAGACCATGTTTGTTGATACTTAGTGCCTTTTCATGACTTTGAAATTAATAATAATGGTCTAAGAGCAGAGGCAAAAGATGTGGGCCCCTAATTAAAAAAAAATTAAAAAATTTTGCTGATTTTTTTTCTGATCATTTTTATTGATCGGCGATCGGAAATTATTATCCGATCACCCCTGATAGGATCGGTATCGGCGTCCGATCCGATGATCGTTTACAGGGTTAGTTATTTTCCCCTGGGGAATCCAAATTTGGCATTGCCAGCGGGCGGTACGGTAACCCGAAACCCTCAGAGCGCCGATGAAAAAAAACATCCGCAAAAATGCAGACAATCCTTGTTTATGAGGACGCATTTTGTCCGCGTTTATGAGGATATCCTCGTTTATGTGGACAATCCTCATTCTCGGACCAGCGCCCCTACTGATATGTTATTGCATTTCTCAAAAGGAGTTGTGTAAAAAGGGAGTAAAAGGAAATTATAAACTGGGCCTAGCTTTCTTGAGGTTAATGCTATATTGCAGCCACATATTGAATCTCTAATTGTTCCTTACATTGACAGGCTCCAGGATATGGGGTCCATACAAGGAGCTGTACAATACCGTCTCCCTCATCGTCTCCAAGAGATGCCCAGATCCCTACCAGGAGCTGGATGCTCTCATCAGAAAACACAAGCCAGACTTTGTGGCCCTTCTCAAGAACCCGGTAAGAATATGTTACTTTCAGACAGGGGTTAGCGGAGGAACATTGGAAAGGGCCTAATGCTAATGGCCATTTCCCCACAAATGTAGGTCATAATGTGACCCAATTGTTGGACTTGAAACAGTTACGATTTTCAGCAACAAAAAAAAATCCAAAATTTGAATGTGCTTGTGCATTTTGTGTGTGTGTGTGCCATTTTGAATGGCACATTGCCCATTCTCTCCCGTAAACTATCCTATATAAGCATCTCACATCAGCAATTTGGGGATGTTCATTGCTTCATCGAACACACCAGTCATGACGAAATCATGCATATTCAACCAATGGTCCATAAAAATACATATACATGCCGCTCATTGGTTCATTGTGATTGAACGATCATCCATGACAAACTCTTGCATAATATTCAACAAAATTTAATAAAATATGCTACTGCATGATTCTTCAAAATGTCAATGAACACAGTCTAACAAAAAGAAAGTACTTATTGATCAAAAATAGGATTTTTGGATGAAAAGAACAGGATTTTTGTTCAGTTAGGGTTGGCAGCTCAGACTACACCACCACAAGTGTGGAACACTGGTTATTTACGTGTTATTATGACTTGGTTTTTTCCTATAGTTACGAAAATTTGAATTTGCCATTAAAAATCTTAACCATTTCAATCTCTGTCTCATCACCCAGGCAAAGAATGCCCAACACCGAGAACAGATCAAGAAAGCCGATGTTGAGGGCGTCGTCATCTCTGGCCAGGCAAGGAGTCGTGTGTTGCCACGGCAACTCATCGAGGAGGCCCTCCTCATCAGTGACCTGTTTGATTTAAACGAGTATGCTGCCGTTGAACTTCTCCTGGCAGGTAAATGTTTAGGCAATAACAATAATAATAGCTCACATTTATAATGCGCCTAATAGTTTGTTTCTAGGCGCAGTACATGTTATTACCCTGGTCATCCGATTCAGGCTTACCCGCACACAATGTATGCACATTCTTCACTCCCTGGGGAGCATTCCGGCCAGTAATTTGGTTTCTACATGCAATGATGAACCTTTCCTTGAAAGCTATGATAAGAGTTGTTGTTGCGATTGTCTTCCATCTTGCAAGGAGAACAATACAGTCAAACCTGTTTATAGCGACCGTCCAAGGGAAACACAAAAAGTGGTCTTTGTAGACAGGTGGTCACTAAAGCAGGTTTGACTGTAATAACGAGGTTTTAATATGATGTGGTATCTGCCAGCTCAAGGGTATTAAATGGCGCTTCCTCACATAAAGTTGGATTTATACAGACAGGTACCTTTTCAGATCAGATTATTTTTGTTGAGGACCAATCTTAAAATATCTTCATTCAAATGAAATGACTCTTGATTGAATCTGGGTTGATTGTTGTAAGACCAGAAAGTCAAACACTAGACCAATTGAGATTCACTTTATAATGTTTGTGTTTTAATTTGTGGCATGATATGTGATGCTCAATACTTTCCTTCAGAATATCTCTTGGCATTTTATACTCGCTTGCACTAGTGATAGAGTAAAGACTACTTTTCATTTCTCATCAAAAATAAATCCTGAGTATCCTATTAACCACTAACCTGTTTATCGACTCCAATCCAATCAAAAAGATATTGGATATAGCGCCTTTTCCTTGCGGCTACAAAGTGCTGCACACACTACTCCACAATGTTTGGGCCACTAAAAAACAAAGTTGGTCACTTCTAAGAGATCAGTCAAGTATATGTAGGCTTGGTAATGAAGTAATTTCTAGCAGAATAGATGTAACTTGAGTAATTTCTTGAACCTCCAATATGTGTTTGTATCCTTTTCACTAGGTGACCAACAGCAGCCTCACTTTCCTGGTCTGCCCCGCGGCCTGGTGGCCGTTCTTCTCTACTACGATGGTCGCTGCAGCCTGATCAACGCCCTCCAGCTCCTGATCCAGTCCCGGCGGGGTCGCACATGGACCTTTGACCTGGACAAGGAGGTCGTTGACCTTGTGACCTCGTTCACCGATGACCTCGTCTCCGAAGGGCTGGTCGGTAAGGTGCTCCAGTTTCTGAAGAAGATGGATATCGTCAAGGAGATGAATGATATGGCCAAGGAGAGAGCTCTGGGAGGTCCGAAGCACAGGCATGATGTACGTGGGTCGCATAGGCCTGTAGAACATTTGATAATTCATTAATGAAGGAAAAAATATTATCTAAAGATCATTATTGAGAGATCAATGGTGAGAGCAACCAGTGGCATGAACGGCCTGCCATAGTTAAGTCCAACCTAAAGTCAATCTTACTCTTTGTGAAACACTCCCCATGTCTTGAGGAGTAGGTCATATAACTACAAGTAAACCGGAATCTTTGAACACCATTCTACCAAACTTTTAAGTCTACCATTTATTATCTAAAAGTTCCAGTTAACCATGGATGGATGTATGGGTGGTCCCAGGGATAAATATATTTGGATTCTGAAGTTTTGATAAGTAATTTTAGACCCTGAGACATTATTATTGTATATATCTTTGTTTTGTTTTTATTGAAAATGGAAATGAATAAAACAATTTGAATTGAATTTCATTATACCTGTCACAGATCCAGGAGTTCATGCGTGGTGTCCGTATCTCTCTCGCCGACTGCCTCTACTGCTTCGCCTGTCAGACGCCCTTTGGAAGAAAGGATACCATTCTTCTCGCCAAGCATCTCATGAGCGGCATCGAGCTGAACGCCGACGGCACCTTTGACGAGTCCTCCGTAGCTCTTCTCATGGCCTTCCTGTACAGCATTGATACGGGTGTGGTTGAGCAGAGACCAGAAGACAGAGATGGTGAGTAAGACAGTTTGTTTCAGCTGAAGAAATGCTGAAAGCAACTTTTGTCGCATGCACCTTTATAAAGTCAGGGGAGTGTTTTACAAAGACTAAGATCGACTTTAATTTGGACTTAACTATGGCAGGCTGTTCATGCCACTGATTGCTCTCACCAGTATGATCTTTAGATAATATTTTTTCCTTCAATAATTAACTATCAAAAAATGTAAATTCTGTAGATTTGTGACCATGATTTGTACGTCCCTTGAGAGACAAATGCCAGTGAATGGTGAGAGCAAACAGTGGCATGAATGGTTTAAGTCCAATTCAAAGTGGATCTTAGTCTTTGTGGAACACCCCCTTGGACCAGTTGTGATGCTGGCTTGCTACAGTTCATTTTGACATTTTTTCCCGGTATCTTTTTAGTGATAGAAGCATGTATTGCTTTCTCTCAGCATGTCTTGCAAAAAAAAAATATTTTTGTAGAGTCTTGAATCACAAATCAAAGTGAGACTGAGTCTCTGAAGAGTCCATAAAAAAGGTGAATTTTGCCTTTAAAATTCTGCAATATCTATTCGGTCATGGTGGTTTAAACCCTCAACTTGCAAGTAATTATTTTTATAGTCTTGAGTAAAAAAAATTGTAGTAAGACTCTGTCTGTGAAGAGCTCTTAAAAAGGTGAACTTTTCCTTTAAAAATCATCAATTTTTATTTCACCAGGAAGATGTTAATCCTAAAACTCGACTATGATTGTAATTACATTTAAAGGTAAAGACCAGTATTATTACCAATCATATGAAAGAGTATGTTTTGACTAATACATGATGATAAAAATTTTGCCGGGAAACCGTCTACTAATTGATATATTTGGTAAATTAGTTTATCTATTGGTGTGTGAGAGAAAAACGTACGTGTCACCCACGTGTGCGTAGTCCCATATACATCTTTCTGTGTACAGTGCTTGTAATTTTATGAAGATTGGGCCAAATTTCTGATCATTTTGATGATTCCAGAACCTTGCAGTACACACCAATACTTATTTGATAGATGATTAGCCTTTTCTGATCGATTCCACAACGTTTCTTTCACAATGCAATCGCATGACCATAACTGGTCTTTTTCTTTAATCTTTTGTGTTTATTCTGATTTCATTCTGACAGAGAATGAACAGCACCTGCCAATCCTGAAGGACAAGCAGTATCTCCCCAAGATCCACGACCTCATGATCTCTGAGGACGAAGGTCAATGGAAGGTCAAAGGGGTCAAGGGGGTCATGCAGCTGGCTTGGGCGTTGACCCTCCGGAATTCGGCCCAGCTTCCAGAACTATCAGGTAATATGACTTTTTATTGAAGCCTTGGGATCATTTTATATAGATGTGTAGGTGCATGAAAACAAAAAATGAAATTATTAAAAGTTTGTCATACCATAAAAGTTGCTAATGAAGCAATGAATTATAAGAACCTCATCCAAAGAAGGCATATTTTGAAACATTTTCCTTATGTATTTAGTTAGACAAGAAACATTTGAGAATAGAACTCATCTGTAGGCTCTATTAAAGTCGGAACGATGATGACTAATATTTTAGGTACAAAAAAGTTTGCTTGCAAGAAATCATTGTTGAAGTTGTTTTCATAGCTTGTCATTTTATCAAATTCAAAGTGGGGTAATTGGCATCTCACTTCACCATTGTGATTTATTGATAATTGGTTGATAATGGAATAATTGCAAGTCTTCAGGTGGACTTTTCTAAAACAATAGCTTTAGAGAGTTTCGCTAAGGCCTAAAAAAAATATGTTGTATTGCCCTTTAGTTGCCAAAACATAGGTCGGTCTGTCAGAAATCTTTGTTTTTTTCTTCTTTTTTTCCTCCCTCTTTGGGCTGATATTTCTTAGTTTTGAATGTTTTAATACATATCTTTTTATTCATTAAAATGTTATTTCTTCTAAAAACCTTTTCTTGAATTTTTTTTTAAAGCCGAGCGTAGATCGCAAAGGGCAATAAAAGCATCTTTTTGTTAACGCCTAATGTCGATATTAATCTCTCATTACCCTATCCAGGATTCCAGAATGAGATAGAAGATGATGAGATCCTAGTAGATCGAGCCATGCAGGCAGATGCTTTCTCCTTCATCAACAAATGTGTCATCGCCAACAAAGTCTTCCATCAAAATGTAAGAGTTATTTTGTTTGTTCTGTTTGGTTTGGGTTTTTTTTCTCGCCCAAGGCAAGAGTTATTCCTCTAATTTGATGATGACATTGGTGATGGTAATGATGATGTTGATGATGATGAACTACTTGGGGTTTTAGCCCATAGAATTGTAAAACTGATACAATTTGAGATTTAACCCCTTTTGAAATGCACATCACATGATACATAATTGTGTCAGTGACTTCAGACAGCAGGATTTGTCATATCCATAGAAACAGAAATAATCATCTACATGTATATCTCATTTTCTCCTTTATTACTCTTTTTCTTCAAAAGGAATTCTACGTACGACGAATCCATGGCCTCATAACAGACTTCATCTTTCAGATGCCCCTCAAAGTAAGTTTATCAAACTGTTCACATTAAAAAGAAATTTAAAAAAAAGTGTTTTCTCTTATATCACTACTAGCAAACTTTTGTTTTAAAGGTACAAAGAAATTCATGAATACTATATTGATACTCTTTTGCTGTGCAGGTGAAAGAGATCCGTAACCGTGGTGATGAGGCTGGTCGTCTCATCATGTCCTACGAGAGGGAAGGTCTAGAAGTCAACTCTAACCTGCCTCGACACTTTGAAGACTTCTTACACCTGGTATGTTCAAAGTTATACAATTCATCTTGTCATCTCTAAGAAACAAAATGTATACTGTAGGGGTCATATGTAAGATTATGCAGTAGTTTATTTAGAACAGCAAAGTGTAAATGCTCAAATGAAAGCGAATGGCTTTTATGTGACAGGCTGTATGTTCATTGGCTCGAATGACATTATTAATTCATGTTATATATTTTGAAAACAAATTAGTTTTATTTCTATGAAATACATTAGACATGTCACTGGGATTCATTGGGAGTCTTTAGTATTTTTGGTGAAGTTAGTCAGATTCTGTGAGACTTTCCTTTTCATTAAAGCGGGACTGCACTACTTGTAGTTACTTGCGCCCTCTTTTTATCAAAAAATGCCTAAGCGGTACCCGTTGGTCCCCCATGGTCCCCTTTTCTTATGTTAATCGAGAGCTTATTTGATGAAATAACCACCTGTCAGTGACCTCGCAGGGAGGTCTAGCGCCTCCTGGCCAAACTTGTGCAGATAGGCTTTAATAGGACTTGAAGATTATTTTAAATCTATGATGAATCTACATAATTGATATTATTTTCATTTCTCTTTTTTCAGTTTGGGTATCTGTACGAAAAGGACCCTCTTCAGTTGGAGCTGTCCCTTGACTATTGGAATCCACCTGAGAGGGGGAGTAGCCCTGGGGGTGGAGGGGGTGCTAGCTACCTCAGCATGTATCATCACAAACAATCCCAAAGACAAGTGAGCCTAGCAGAGATGCCAACCAGTACAATTTTTATTATATGAACCCGATAAAACAAGTGAAATACAAAAATACGATGTTGCCTCTTAAAAAATACGATTTTTCATCTTTAAAAAAACACACGATATACACCACGAAATTGCAAAGAAACATGTACAAGTGAACCCCCCAAACCCAACAAAAACATTGAACACGAGCCTACATGGACGGGGAAATATGCGTAAGCAGCAGCTTTACAGTTTTCTCATTAAATGTTAATGAGAGAGCAAGAATTTTACTTGTCCGTTCTTACCAGTAGAACATCCACATGATGCATAAATTTGGACAAATCAATTACTTTACTTACTTTACTTTAATACACGATGTTGTAGGTCTAAGCCTGTTCATCGATCCAGGATTCTTCTATGGTTACTGCTATTTGTGGAGGGAGGAGGTTGTGTAAAACATGAAACAACAGACAACACCTAGACTGGCTCATACAGAAGGCTAGCATTCCTTGACCAGTAACTATCCAGTCTATTCTTAAATGAGTTGACTGACCCAGCTGCCACAACGTTTTCTGGGAGACTGTTCCACAGCTCCACGACTCTATTGCTAAAAAAGTATTTTCTGATATCTAGTCTTGAATATTTCTTTTCCAGTTTTCTAGAGTGACCTCGAGTTCTATCTTCTGTACTCAACTTAAAGGGAATCTCTTGCACATTGAACAAGCCATTCAAGTACTTGTACAATTGTCCACATACTCAAAAAAATTACAAAACTTGGTAAAGGTTTGAATAAGTCAGTCATGTAATCAGGACACTGTACACTGATTTAGGTGTTAACTGTATGTATCTTCTTGTAGGTGAGCCTCTTCAAGTTTGTCCGCATGGCCGGGGACCTCCTTCCCCCATCCCTGTACATCCCGTACCTACACATGCTGCAAGGCCTGGCCCACGGACCTCAGAGTGCACACCACTGCTTCAACCTACTCAAGGCCAACGGAATGGGAGGAGGTAAGAATTGAATAGTTTAATTCCAAAAGGAGCTAAATCAGGCCTGATAAAAACCCGATTTAAATCGGTTTCCTGATTTTTAAAAAATTTCCCGATTTTTTTCTTACTTCCTGATTAAAAAAAAAAAAAAAAAAAAAAAAATCCAGATTTTTTTTTTTTTTTTTTTTTTTTTTACCAATTTTTTTTCTTCTTCCCTATTTTATCCTGATTTTCCCGATTTCCCTCTTATTTTCTCTATTCTTTCATGTTTTGCCCTATTTTTTTCCCAATACTTTGTTGAAAGATGGGTACTGAAGTAAACAAGGTTCTGATATCGATAACTCAATTGTCATGAAAAGTGGATGTAGCTCCTTTTGGAATTAAACTCTTCATTATTGTTGATGTGTCATAGTTCAGTCAATTACTGGGGATGTGTAGGTCCTGGGTTCAAGCCTTAGCAGGCACTAGGTGCATAGGTGGTAGTATGTCTGTTTCGATATTATTAAGGGTGTATTGAGAGGTGTACAGGTAAAGTAAATAGTTTGGTACTTGTTTTCTGTTTCAATGTGGACAAATATAATGGCAAGAAAACTCCAAATTGATGGCTGTTGCAGTGCAAGCATTGAATTAGCTGGACTAAGAAATTGGAGCTGAATCATTGCCTAGTTCTTTATCTGTATGTAGGACTATGCATCAATACTGTGCTCTATGTTAGGTTGAACATTTATTGAATTGAACTGAAATGCAGAAGATAAAATAATACAGAGTCGTTAAATTCTTGATTTTAGAACATTGACTTTAAAAAATATTGGTTTAATGCTTTATGTAAGAAATCAATGATTTGTTGATGATGTTATGGTTTTATGAACTTTTTTCTCCAGCTGGGGCAAGTATGGGCAGTGTTTCCTGGGACCACTTCTTCCTCTCCTTAAACCGCTACTACTCGTCCCTCCGGCAGGAGATCCGCTCCACCTCCCCGTTCCAGGAAGTGGGGCACACCGCCCAGTCATTCAGGCTTGGGGCTAAGGGGATCACTCCACAAGAGATGGAGGGGTTGAACAACGTCCTCAGACTGATACAAGTTGTTGCTAAAGAGGTAAATATGGACATCCGCTTGTAGTCTGCATATGTTTCTCTGTTATATTTGTAAAATCTATAGCTCTTAGAATGGTTGTTGTGCCTGTAACAGAGCTGCCAACTAGTACGGATTTCCCGTAATTGGTACAAAAATTAACGGAATGTTGTCTAAAATTACGGATTACCAAAACAACAAAATCTGTTTTATTTTTGTAACCATTCATTAAAAAAATTATTTAAAAAGAGAAAAAGAAAACAAAGTTCATTCCGACACCCTTCGTCCAGCATAGGACTTATTGACTAAGTATCATGGTTGCTGATTGTTTAACCTGACCGCTAAAAAGCATGTGCATGCTCGTAAGTAAGCAATCAGGGGACCGACGACTTTAAGTCCTCTCTTGAGGGACTTAGTAATGAGGATTAATGCCTTACCAAAGGATACAAGCATTATGACTTGGTTTTGAACCCGGGACCTTTCGGTTACGAGACCACTGCTATACCACTGAGCTATCCCGCCTCCTATCATTATCAATGTTGTCAGGTTGGGGCAATTAACTTACATTGTCCCCTTCCACAACTTAGAATTAAATTAATTCAACAAGAAATCAAGACGATTTGTTAGCTTTGATTTGATCATTTGTGCGTTTATTACTATCAACTCGATCAACTCCTTGGAATTACATGTAGCATATTCAGATTCCTTTAATTTGCATATTCGTAACAATGTATACATAATCTTTATTCTAGAACGAGGATGCAAGGCGAGCCATGGTAGAGAACCAGTCCTGGTTGCCGTCCGTTCTGCTCTTTGGTCTCCTGACGTGTAGCATCCCTCCACCGCTGAAAGCAGAGTGCCTTCGAACCCTGGCGGTCTTTGCCCAGTCACCAGAGATTGCAGGGACCCTCTGGCAATCACTGGAGGTATCACAGGTGAGGAAAGAAGGGGTATTCAAGGGTTCAGTGACACAAAGACGTAACTCCATATTTTGCCAAAATGAGTATTTGATATCAAAATGTTCAGAAAATGTGGGCTTTCCAGGAAACACAAAGACTTCACTCCACCCAACACCCCATTGAAGTCAATAGCTAGTGAAACATAGACTTAACTCCTTAAGGCCCAAGTGCTTAGTGACACTTAATTCACTTTTTCTCAAAATGGCCAAAATGGAGTTACGTCTTTGTGTCACTGAGCCCTCGTATTGTCGTTTGGTTTACAACCAGTTTGTTTAATACCCAAACTGGTCTATTCCTATATGGTCTACACCAAGCCTGTCTACTATCCACATGGTCTCATAATCATTTTGTCTATATATCATTTGTTCTAATGACCATTTGGGCTAATAGTCATTTAATCTAATCTCCAATAAGTCTACTACCCATTTGGTGAATTGCTCAGTTAGTCTAATTTCCAGTCGGTCTAATCCCCAGTTCGTCGAATGTCCGTTTTGTCTACTATCCATATGGTGTAATAATCATACGATCATAAATAATAACCATCATCAAATGATTATAAGACCTTATGGATGGTAACAAAATGGGCATTAGACAAACTGGTAATTAGACTCGCTGGTTATTCAATTAAATGAACAATAGACCAATTGGGTAGTAGACTTATTGCAATATAGCTCTTATTCGCTCTTGCTTCACTCTTGTATTGTTGTGAATTTGAATATATGAATTTAATTGAATTAGTGAATGATTTGAACACTCTTTGCTCTAGATCTGATATCTCTTTTCGCTGCAGTTCTTATCTTTACAGCTAAAATTGATGATTTTTTTTTTGTTGCCCTTTCTCAGATCATACCAACCATCCACCAAGCCGGTGTTCCTCCTTCCGGGATCCTCCTCGAGCTGGAAGAAATTGAATCCAACAACGAGGAGTTTCCCCTCACCCGTGGGTTCCTGGCCATGGTCGACACCCTGACGGAGATACCAGTGCCCCCGATGTTGGGCGTCGGCTACAGGCCACCAGGTTTCGACCCCTATCTCAAGTTCCTCAGGGATTCGGTGTTCCTCAAGTTCCGCTCAAGGGCATACCGCAACCCAGCTGAAAAGGTGTGTCTAGAGAATTCAATTAAGTGTAGAAAACAAATTTCAATTTAATTTGACTATATTTTACCTTTTTTGATGAGAGAGAAAAAAGCAGAACTAACAAACTAAACTGTAAATATAGTCTTAAGTTCTGGAATCGATAAATGATTTGATTCTAATAGAATCCAACAAAATGCACACTGATTTATTAGAATTTGTTAAAAAATCTATCAAAAGCTAAGAAGTAAACAGAATGATGAAGAAGCTTTGTCAATCAGGCATATCAACTTTCAGTTTCTTTTGACTTTATTTTACCTTTCGTAATGAGAGAAGAAAAAAAACAGAGCCAACAAACAAAATGTAAATATAGTCTTAAATTTTGGCATTGATAAAAGATTTGATTCTAATAGAATCCAACGAAATACACAATGAATATTCATTTATTCAAATTTATTGTCTCTATGTGCTTGTTAATTCATTGACTACTGAAATCTCATATTCCCTATAGGGTTAATACAGGAGCTGCCCAGTTCCAGTAAGCAATGGGTTAACATACAAATGGTCCAAACAACCTGAGTGATAAACCTGTTATCATATTTTGTCAAGTAATTTGGAAAATTACTAAGCTAGCCCTCTCTTCCTACTTAAAACTTACTTCTCTGTTCTTAACCTTGCATCAGCTCCTTTTCCTTTTCTCGCTATATCTTCCCCCTTCTGACTCATTTCCTTCATTCCCCACCTTGATCTACTGTTCTTCTTACCCTCTTTCCCCTTTTACTCTTTCTTAGTGCTCATGCTATGGGTAATTTTACTTTAATGTTGAAGAACTCGACGTCTATGTATATTCATCATTCCGATTGTATAAGGTATTTTTATTGCTTGTAAAAAATCCCATGTAACATTTATGTTCATTTAACTTGATTGGATAAAGTTAAATTGAATCGAAATGAAAAGAATCGCCATTGCTATTCTATCTAGTGGGAAGTTGCAGCTGCTGTGACCAAGATCCTCTCCAAGCTCCTGGCCGCCCATGAACCCCACGCAGAGGAGTTCCTGGACCACGTCGTCGAGCTCCAGGGAGGGGGTACGGCCATCACCAACAAGCCTCCGGGACATCACCTCCTCATCCACATGCTCAATGACAGCTCCATGCTGCAGCTGGTGAGTCATTTGTTTGTGTGGTCCCACCTATTCATATTTATGAGGGCAGAATCTGTAAATGCAGAAACCTTTGCATCCTAAAATTTGGCTGATGCAGACCTGCCAACCAGTACGATTTAGTCGTATTTAGTACGATTTTTAGAAGCAAATGCGACAGTACGATTTTTCTAAATAAAATACGATTTATTTTTTTAATTTTTAATTTTTAATTTTTTAATTTTTTTTTTTTTTTTTTAAATATCTTTTTTTGTTTGTGTGTGTACCATTTTCAATGGCAAAATGCCCATTCTGTCCTATAAAGTATCCTACAAGCATCTCACATGGGATGTTCATTGGTTCATCGAACACATCAATCGTGATGAATATCATGCATATTCAACCAACGATCCTTAAAAAAAATTCTTCCTGTATGTAGGAACTGTAAGAAGCATTGATCCGCGTAACAGTCCGCGTTTATTTTTAAGAATACAACTTTTGTCAGTAAAATACAACTTTTGGGATTAAAGAATACAGTTTTTGAACTCCAGAGGTTGGCAGGTCTGCTTATGATCAACAGTTTCCCAACAATTGATGGGAAATTTCATTGTGCAATCAGTTTGCCAAAAAACAAGCCTCTGGGTAAGTCTGGGACATCATCTCCTTATCCACATGCTCAATGACAGCTCCATGCTGCAGTTGGTGAGTCATTTTTTTTTGGTGTAGTCCTACCCACTCATTTATCTGATGGTTGAGAAGTCTCTGGTCCTGTACAATAACTTTTGTGTGTAGTTCACATGTTTTCTTCAAAATGTGTTTTGTTCTCTCTTATGGCATGAGATGTTGTATTTTGATCAGGTGTTGATTTATTTCACCATATCATTTTGGCTTGATGATCAGAGTCAAAGAAGGTTGTACATGGAAAGAAGAAGAGGGAAGACCTTGTAAAGGCTTTCTAAATGATGTAATCGCAAAATGTGGAGCAACAGGATATAAAATGCTGAAACGGATGGCTCAAGACCGAGGTACATGGTGAGACACTTGATGTAGAATTCAGATTGGGTCACTGAACTCGTCATAAACTGACAGAACACTATTGATGATGATCATTTTGTAAAAGAAGTTAAGGTGTTGGTCCCATAAACAATGTTGTGTGGGAGTAGTAGAAAATGTTTTCTGTACCTATTCACACAGATCCTAAGCATCTTGGACGAGAGCATCCGTCTCCTGTCTCAATACTACATCTTACAGAGAGTCCTTTCCAGGTCTCCCCAATCCTCCCCCTCCCTCACATGGTGCAACGGCAAGCCTCTGTATTTCTACATCACCATGCAAGCCTATACTTATAAGCAGCACCTAAAAGTAAAGGATGTTGGTCCCATAAACAATTTTGTGCGGAGGTAATAAGCATCCTTTTCTGTACCTATTCACACAGATCCTAAGCATCTTGGATGAGAGCACCCGCCTCCTCTCCCAGTACCACGCCTTCCCCGGCAAGGAGAGCATGACAGAGTGCGCCCTCTATTGCCTGACCATGCTTGACCTCGCCCTGGAGAAGCAGGACAGGTTCATTGACCTCCTCAGAGGTCAAGGGTCAAGTCAAATGGTCACTCCGCTGGACCAGCTACTGATGGGGATCAACCCCCGCTCTGGACGTGCCGATCACCTTTGCCACATTGCCAAGTGAGCTTCCCTGTTTTTAGTTTTGTCTGTTCGTTGTGGTTTTTTTTGTTTTTTTGTTTTTCTCAATATTTCATTTATATTTTTCATTCACTCTGGGCCCTGTCTTACAAAGAGTTGATATCAATCGCAACTTATTTGCAATCGCAACTAAGTGCATAAGAGACAGGAGACTGCAAACTTGTGATTGATTGGAGAATTTGCGATCGATTTGGATCAATCGTAACTCTTTGTAAGACAGGGCCCAGGTCAATATCTGTGGCTCAGATAAGAAGTTATGCTTGTGCAAATCACACAAACCAACCAGACTGTGATTCATACAAGCATAACTATATACAAGCCTAGAGTTAGAATTGATGTTTCAGAGATACTTCCAGATACCCACATAATTAGGTCTATATTTTAAAAAAAAACTGGAAAATAAATGAAGATTATTATTAGGAACAGTCCTGCCAATGGGTTGCCTACTTTGACATTTAGACATTGCACATTGGTAGTACAGTCAAACCTGTTTCAGTGACCACCTGTGTAGAAAGACCACCTGTCTACAAAAACACCCTTTTTTTGTTTTCCTTGAAAATTGTTTCTCATTGAAACATGTACTAAAGAAACCTGTACATAGAGACCACCTGCCTATAAAGACCACTTTTCATATCTTACTTGGGTGGTCTTTAAAGACAGGTTTCATTGTACAAGATACTAACTGGTACATGTAGCTGTTGCAGAGCTCAGTCACTGATCTACTTGATTAACAAATCATAAATTAAATTTGGTTTTCCTTTCAGATTTGTCAGTTTCAATGTGTCTCTTCCGAAGCATGCCCTGGCGGCGGTCAAGGTCCTCTACAGAATGGTCAAGTCCTCCAATGTCCAGCCTGAGATCGTGAACCTCTTTTCTATCAATAAGGTCAGTATTGCCTGCAGAAAGCCTTAAAGCCCCACCGCACTAGTTTGGCCAGGAGGAATTAGACCTCTCTGCATGGTCACTGACAGGTGGTTATCTCATCAAATCAGCTAACATAAGAAATAGGGGACCAATGGTCCTGATTAGACATTGTTTGCTATATAGAAGGCACAAGTAGCTATAAGTTGTGCAGTGGGGCTTTCATGATTTCAAAATAGGGTATTAGATTCAATATTACTTCAAGTAATGATGATATATGAGGTGTTGGAGTTACTTGTGTAGTAATGTTACAAATGTTCTTATTATTCTCGTTGCAAATTGAACATAAGTTTTTCTCTGTCTAAATGTTCATCTTATTAAAACTTTCAGGGACTCTTTTCTTCCTCTGTCATTCCAAGACAATTGATAAACAACCATGTCAAAATCCTAGGGATCCAATACAATATGTTTGTAAGCGCTTTCAGGCCTTAAATTTCAATATTTTTAGGGCAAGGCCACTTTTCTGTGGGCACCTTCCTATATTACAGCACAAATAGAAAGAATTGGAAAGGGCACACAAAATCTCCAAGGCCAATGAGAGGGGCATTGAGGCCAATCAAAGGGGCATCCAGGGCCATGGCCTTGGTGGCCTTGGATTAATTTAAGCCCTGCGCTTTACACAAAAATGGTGATTCTCAGATAATAGTATCGTATTTACAAACTACAATTATTATGTATACCATCAAACTACATTAGTTCAAAATACAGAAAGCACAGATACATCCAGTCAATACATTAAAATACAATAGAATCAAATTAATTTTAGGCCAAAACATTACAAAGTCAAATTAAGGCAATTACATTACATGTTACATGAATAATGAGAGTATGACATTGAAAGCTATGGACTAACAGAGAGTTTAAAGCTTATCTGCCGTAGTTTACAGGAGGGATTAGACTGCCCTGCAAGGTCACTGGACAGGTGGTTATCTCATCAACTCAGCTCTCGGTTAACATAAGAAAAAGAGGATCATGGGGGACCAATGGTCACCGATTAGGCATTGTTTGTTATATAGAGGGCGCAAGTAGCTACAAGTAATGCAGTGGGCCTTTAAAAGGAATGTTTTTAGGGAGGATTTAAATGAATATAACGAAGGAGCATCACGCAACTCAAGAGGTAGCCTGTTCCAAAGCCTCGGAGCAGCTATGCTGATGGTGTAAATTATTCACTTTGTGTATTTCAGGAGGAGTCTGGAGGCATCCTGCATGGGTTTGTGGAGTGCCTGGAGGTGGAAGATCTGGAGGTACCCGAGACAGAAGCATACCAAGAAGACGGAGAAGGTAGATTTATCGCAGTTATTCCTTGTGATGTTGGATAGTGTAGCAGTGAAATGATCTATGGATTGTCTTAAAATTCAAGAAGAAGAGCCATTTCACAAAACTTGTCATCAGTGACAAAAGACAGTTTTTGTTATAAGCTACTGAAATCTTTGCTTCTGATTAGTTATCAGCAGATTTGTCGCTTATTTTTGTCATTTGTCATTGAAAAAAGGCTTTGTGAAACTCCCCCTGTATTAGTTTAGCCTTTAGAGGTGCAGTCCACCCTGAAATTAAATGGTTTTGATAAAAGCTGAAAATGAGAGAAACAAATCAGTAAAAGTTTGAGCAATATCCAATGGAAAATCGGAAAGTTATGAATGCTGAAATTGTCATCAGTGAAAAAACAAATTGGCAACACTGTGACGTATTTTGCGAGCATCTCCTCTCCGTCTTGCCACATCACATTAATGAGATGACTACACCAATATTTATTTTACATTTGAGCGAAACAAATATCCATGTTGAAAGACACATACATTGGACAAATAAATACATTGAAATTGAAATTATAGTGCTATACTTATCCGGATTTTGTGTATTTATATTTACTGTCATATTTCTTAATCTTGTTTAGATGCTGACGGAGGTGATGAATCTTCGAGGCTTCACAGCCAAACCCGTCTGTATGCCATGCGCCTACTTCTCTTCTCCCTCTCCCAACCGGGGCCAAACCTCGCCCACTTTCTCTTGGGCTACAACACGAGGAAACCTGTCAACAAGACTGAACTTCAAGACCCAGGTAAGGGAATGTAGTGGTGATCATAAGGGTGATGACAGTGGAAGTCGGTGTTATTTGTGGGGATTATTTGCGGAGTTGGTGGTGGTGGTGGTGATGATGATGTGTGAAGCTGGTGATGGGTGTGGTGGGTGGTGGGGATGGTGGTGTGTGAAGTGACGATTGTGGTGATGGTGATGATGATGGTGGTGTTGATGATGGTGGTGGTGGTGCTGATGGCGGTGGTGCTGGTGATGGTTTTGGTGGTGGTAATGGTACTAATTGTGGTGGTGTTTGTTGTGTGCGTTTGTCAATGTGATATTGATGGTGGTGATGGCATATGTATTACTGATGTAAGTAGCAGTGTCTGTGAGAAGATTGATGATGAAGGTGGTGAAAGTAATGAAAACTTAAGTTGGTGATGATGGTAGTATTTGATGACAAGAGAGCCATTAATAACAAATGCAAGAATGACCTAATCAGGGGCGTGTTTCACAAAGGCTAAGATCAACTTTAAGTTGGACTTAACTATGGCAGGCCGTTCATGCCACTGTTTGCTCTCACCATTTACTGGCATTGGTTTCTCAAGGGATGTACAAATCATGGTTACAAATCTATAGAATCTATTGACATTTCTTGATAATACATTATTAAAGCAAAAAATATTATCTAAAGATCATAATGGAGAGAGCAACCAGTGGCATGAAGGGGCTGCCATAGTTAAGTCCAACTTAAAGTCGATCTTAGTCTTTGTGAAACACCCCAATGGTGTACGTGGCTCCGCTCGCACCTGTCTTCACCCTGTAGTATCCGTCCTAGAACGCGGAGTCTGCCATCAACAACACACCCCAGCTGTAACAGTTTATATAATTATTGACTGCTATGTGCAGACATTGCCTCTGACAAAAGCATTTCACTCGTGAACTGGCACACGCATTTGCTTAAAGCCTCACTGCACTAGTTTGACCAGGATGGGTTAGACCTCCCTGCAAGGTCACTGACAGGTGGTTACCTCATCAAATCAGCCCTCAATTAACCTGAGAAAAAGGGGATCATGGGGGACCAGCGGATACCGATCAGGCATTGTTTGCTATATAGAGGGCGCAAGTAGGTATAAGTAGTGCAGTGGGGCTTAAATCGTACAATTATTATTTATCTCTTAAATTTTTTAATCTTCCCCCATCCCTATCCAGGTGTCCTAGGTTCCTCCCGCACCTGTCTTCACGCTGTAGTCTCTGTCTTAGAACGTGGAATCACCTCCCACTCTGGCCCCTCTGCCATCCACAACACACCCCAGCTGGCCGAGCTTGCCTACGAGCTCGTCTACCGCCTCTGTGCCAACCGGGAGACCAGTGCTCCGACCATGCGCTACCTCCGCACCACCCAAGACTTCTTCTACAAGCATCTCAGACATGCTCCCTTCACCAACAAACATGGAGGTATGTACATGAAGTTTTAGGAAGTTAGGCATAGAGAGATTCGACAGGGATCGATTGTAAGATAAAAAGATTTTTTTTTCTTTCTATTGGTGTATTGCTCTGCATCATTAGCACTTGTAATACAAAGAAGTTATATTAATGAAGATAAAAATGAAATAATATCATTGTTAATTCCTGTATTGTAGAGATAATGCATTTGTTGTTTTAATGACAAGGAGATACCCATATCTCAGTGCAGTTCAACAAGTGTAGGTTCTCTGCCTCCCTATTTCAGGGGCTGCAAATCAAAAAAGGTTTATGGGTCTTCAAGGTACTTGACCCTATATGTAGAGGCAAACAGGCGAAAAGGTTGGTAGAAGGGCATTCATTTAGAATGTAAAATTATAGAGTTATCACTCTCCTAGCTTTCAGCGTAGTATTTTTACTCTTTCTTTCATTGTTTTTTTAGAAGACACAGAAGAGCGCATCCTTCTTAACCAGCAGGCGTGGCTTCTCAAGGCCGTTGCCATAGAGCTAAGGATGACAGCTGTCAATCGACAACGTTCCCATAGCCAACGTCTGCTCCGCCTCCTCCTCGAGGACACGCCCTCAATGGCCAACGATGATGGTAGGTCGATCACTCCTAATTGTTCAATCTGCTTTACGATACTTACAACAATTCTATCTTTGTTTTCAAACCTGTTACTACATGAGTATATACATCTGAAATTAATTAGTTATCACCCTTTAGTCTCATTGGCTGCCCGTGTGGGGCCTGGTGGCCTCGGATGCTAGAGCTCCTGTGAATAATGTGCTGACTGGGCTAGTCCCTTAAATTGTCAGTGAACGGAGCAGCTGGAGGGCACCGGGCCCCACCGGGCAGAGCTGAGAATTGAAATGGGTGATATTAATATTTCAAAATTGTTTACTTTATTTGTATTGATGAGAACTGTTGCTGAGCTAGCGCCATGAGCGTCCCTGGATGGTGTGTGCGCTCTATAAGTTTACAGTATTATTATTATTATTATTAATAATAAGGTGGTGGTCAAAGTACAGGAATTTTCCTCTTCGTGCATTCTTGGAGTCTCCTTTTTTAAACATTGGGATGAAGGCCGAATCTCTTCCATTTCACCTTATTGTAATCCAGCGTGCACGTGTTGAGACGAACTCTTCAGTCACTTTTCACCCTATTCATGAGGGAGAAACCCTTTCTACTTGTGCAGTAGCGAAAGGAAGTACCTGGATCATCTCTATTATGTGTAGGAAACTAGGAAACTAGGAAACTCTGCTTGCAACTTCTGAGTTTGAGTTTGAGTTTATTGGTTTCACATTTCACATGCAGATACAATACAGATAACAAAATATACATATAAGACATATTGTTTCATAATTTTAAAAAAAATGATTATAGTAATTGACAAAAAAATCAGACTACAAAGATACATATCATCAAATTTGTTTGACAACTATTATCATTTAAAAGAAACCCAGACAAGAAAAGCACCAAACTGTGAAATGTGAACCTATAGAAAAGCAAAGCTTGTAGAGAATAGGTTCCTGGGAGACTAGAAAATGACAGGGACAGAAAACTAAAAGGAAACGAGTCTAACTCTGACGTAGCCTGGTCAGGATCACATCCAGGGCTACCAGTGTGTCATTGAAGTGCTCAATGAGGATCAGGGCACACCTTTCGCTGAAGTCAAAGCCCTTGAGGCCATTTGGCCATGTCTTGGGATCGAAAGATGAAACTGCAGAGAAAAAAATTTGATATTATATACAAGATGGCATTTTACCGAGTTTTAAAATGCTTGCCTCGGTGCAATCTTCCCACCATGCACAATATTTACAAAAACGTATCTCGCATAAAACAAACGTGTTTGTCTAGCATAAATTTTGAAGAAGATCTTTTGAACAGGTTATTATTGCTAGTTCAATTCTGTCATCAGGAGACTTTCTGCATACTGGTGTGTTTTGACTTGCGGTCGATTCTCTATGCTGCTGTTTCAGAACAACGATCTAGAAAGTTATCTAGCATAAGCGAACTGATACATTCTCGGATCAATGTCAGTGTGACTCTTTTGTCTTTACCCAAAATGGTCTAACACATTTGTTCAAGTACGAGCTGTCTAGAATAGGGCTTGTCTTGGTAAAAAAACACATTTGTCTGCCTTCAAGATTCAAGATAATTTATTGTTATGTAAAAAATACATAAAATTTGCCTTTGGACATTTAAAGGTGCTATACATGTACATAAATATATAAATACAGACAAAGTAATTACATTTTAACATAACATTTAACAATCATCACAATTTTAAGAAGGTTGCATTAAAAGAATAAGATAATGCGGAGGAAAAGATGCGCTCCCTGCTCTTATATCCTTTGCTCCTTGGTAGTATTCAATCAACATAAAATATAAACCTTTTGTACGTCATTGGTAGCATTGCGACTCGAGCAGAACCATGTGTTGTGAAGGTTTTGTGATCGGCTATAGAAATTATGTTCATACCCGTCATCTTGTCTACCACAGGCTTAGCCACATGTTTTGCTTTCATTTTGGTAATCTCCGAAGCTCTCGTAGCATTGCGATGTGCCAGTTGCATTCCACTTAAGGTGACACCTTGGTGTGTGGCCCCTACGCAACTTCTCTTTATTGACTGCAGTTTTGCCTCATCCCGGCCATCTGCAATCTCAGTAAGAACAGATTTGGCTGTTTCTAGATGTTCTATGACCTCGGACGAACCTCGGCCCTATGCAGGTAACGAGGTTTTAAAAGATCATTGCAGGCCGCATCAAACTCAGCACTGCCGTCTTCCATTCCACTTAAGGTGACACCTTGGTATGTGCCCTCTATGCAACTTCTCTTTATTGACTGTCGTTTTGCCCCATCCAGGCCATCTGCCATCTCACTAAGAACAGATTTTGCAGTTCCTAGATTTTCCATGGCTAAGGACAAACATCTTCCATTCCACTTAAGGTGACACCATGGTATGTGCCCTCTATGCAACTTCTCTTGCCTGACTGCAGTTTTGCCCCATCCAGGCCATCTGCCATCTCAGTAAGAACAGATTTTGCCATTCCTTGATGTTCCATGACTCGGACGAACATATGTCAATCCGCTAGAACGCAAGTGACAGTTGTGACAGTTCTTCAAGCACATCGATGTACAGAGCCATGTGCAGAATAAATTTGTAGGATGACATCTTTTTGACCATCCCATGGGCCTTTGCTGCATCCTCCTTTTTTATTGATATTGATTTATTTCGTCCACAATGTGGAAATACGCTTCCCACCAGCATTACAATAATACAAGAAACAGAGTACAATAAGAAAAACTCTTGTCCTTTATGTCTGACCTCTGTTCACAGCCCAGTTCAGTCAGGTGCGCCACAACAGTTGGATAGTTCCTCACTAATGCATGCAGAGCACGTCTTCTGTGGTCCACTCACGTGTTCCATCTGCCCGGGTTGGTCGAAGAATCTTTTCTTCCAGTACATCAGTCATGTTGATCAGCTCACAGAGTTGCTTCATTCCCTGTAATTAGTGAATGTAATGAATTTATTCAAACATGTGTGGCTGCCGTTTTCCAGATTAGAGTGGGCAGCAGCGTGCCTTTACGCCCATCATCGGCCCACATTTTCTTTAGCGTCTGGCCCGCGTTGTGGAGTGGCTTTCCACTTCTTTCCACAAAGAACTTGCCCTCTGATACTGATGTGCAATGCATGCTCCTCCTCCTCTCCAGATATGTTTGGAGCGTTTTGTCCAATGACATAATGAGGCAAATATCTGCCGGCCCATACGCCTTCAGAGTCTTGTGTTGTTGTATCTTGTCCCGCATTCAAAGCGGTTTCCCGGTTCTTTCAAGGAAGAACTTGCCCACTGATACTGATGTGCCAGGCAAGCTCCTCCTCCTCTCCAGATATGTTTGGAGTGTTTTGCCCAATGACATAATGAGGCAAATATCTGCCGGCTCATAGCGTCTGGCCCGCGTTGTGGAGTGGCTTTCCACTTCTTTCCACAAAGAACTTGCCCTCTGATACTGATATGCCATGCATGCTCCTCCTCCTCTCCAGGTATGTTTGGAGCATTTTGTCCAATGACATAATGAGGCAAATATCTGCCGGCCCATACGCCTTCAGAGTCTTGTGTTGTTGTATCTTGTCCCGCATTCAAAGCGGTTTCCAGGTTCTTTCAAGGGAGAACTTGCCCTCTGATACTGATGTGCCAGGCAAGCTCCTCCTCCTCTCCAGATATGTTTGGAGTGTTTTGCCCAATGACATAATGAGGCAAATATCTGCCAGCTCATACTTCTTCAGAGTCTTGTTTCGTTGTATCTTGTCCCGCTTTGTGAAGCGGTTTCCCAGTTCTTTCAAGGAAGTACTTGCCCCCTGACACTGATGGTCCAGGCAAGCTCCTCCTCAACTCCAGATAGGTTTGGAGTATTCTACCCAATGACACGTTGAGGCAAATATCTGCCGGCCCATACTCCTTCAGAGTCTTGTGTCGTTGTATCTTGTTTAAAACAAAAAAAATAATGATTAAAGAAGAAATGCTATGATAATTCATAATTATGGTATGCAGCATGTTTATAAAAACATGCTGCATTTTAAGTGATAGATAAAGCATTACATATCTATTACCAGCATTAACATTTCTACTCTAAATATTTCTTTAATCTATCTTTGATTAATAATAAAGTAGTCAGAAAAGAGAACTAAATCAAAACCCCGAACTGTACTCCCTTTTTTAAACTATGAAAGTTCATGCATTAATAAATTGTGATTTGTTGCTATTAAGAATCTTGTTTTGAAGGTACTGTAAAACAATACGAATATAGTGCTTCTGCTGGGAAGTGCCAGGAGGTTGGTGTCCTGAATTTATGCTTTACATATGCTGCCACTCCTTTATTTTTCCCAAGCACGACAGAGGCATTGTCTGAGGACAAACTGACATATAATCCCAAGAGATATTGTGTGTTTGGAGTTCGTCATCTAGCAAAGTGAAAATGTTTTCACCTGTAGAACGCTCTGTTGATTTCTTTTGAGAAAGCAACTGACATAACACTCTCCCCTCAGTTTCATCAAATGTTTTAATGACAAGAGGATAAAGTTTTTAATGGCTTCCATGTCAGTGCTGGCTTCTGTTGCGAGGCTGAAATGCGAGTTTTTCATGTGAGCTAAATTATTTTTGGTGCATAGTGCCACTGCTTTTGCTTTCAATATTTACATGTAGTAGTATTACTCCTCAATAAGATCCATTCCACTCTTTGGGAGGTGAGTCGGGTTTGGCATGGAACACAATGCTTCCGCTGGGTCCTACCAGGCGGTTTGTGTTCTGAATTCATTATCTCTAAGGCAGAAAGTTCAGATAAGTCAGGTTTGGCATAGAACACAGTGCTTCTGCTAGGTGCTCTGATGAGGTTGGTGTTCTAAATTTTAGTATCTCTAAGACAGCAAGTTTGGTTGTGCATGGATGACATCTGTGCTTTCTTTCTAGAAAAGAATTTCTTGATGAGATCTGTCTGAGTTAGTCTCATGAAAGTCAGGTTTGGCATGGAACACAATGCTTCTGTAAGGTACTGCCCCAAGACTGGTTTTTAATCACTTAATACTTGTATCCCTAAGACAATGAGATGGAACCTGTACTGGTGACTCCATTGCAGTGCAGATCTTCTCATTGAGATGCATTTCAAGTTATTGTTTATTCATCTTTATTCAAGAAAATACATATAACATAGTAATAAAGATGTTACATAAAACCCAGGACTGAGATTTGAATTACATTGGATTTATCTCATGCAGGGTTAAACAATTACAATACACAATTACAAAACGGAAAAGAGAACTTCATAATGTCAGTTTTTCTAAATGGAAACAATAATAATTCCTAACAAAACAAACTAATAATTATTTTCCTAATTATTATCATTTTATCAAGTTATTATCATGTAAATCAGGTTTGGGATGGAATTCAAAAATTGTATTCAATAATCCCCAAAGTTGAATTTTACTGATAAAATTGTATTTAAAAAAAAAACATGGACCTGATGCACGGATCAATGCCTGTCTGGAAACATTTTCTTGACCACATCTGTGAATTCATCCGAAGCTGAAAATAGCATGTTGTGCTCCATGATATATTCAGTTCACAAAGTTTCTGCTCTGATAGCATCATAATTGTCACTGGATTGCTATGTAAAGCATTGGAGAATTGACTTTTGCTTTTTCAAATCCTCGGCAGAACTTGTGTGCTCCGCTGACTTGATATGGTGTTCGATATCGTATGCACCACCGTGTGCTAAGCTGAAGTCAGACCTACACGTGGTACATTGCACAAAATTCTCTCCTTTGGAAGATTGAATGATGAAATCCCATTTGATCAAGTGCTCTGGCTTGTAGCATTGCTTTCTAGACTGCTCTTTGGAGCCCTTACTGTGTTTGGTTTTATTTTCCGTATAAAAATTCAAATACATGCAAGAATACAATTTACAAATATAATACAAATCAAGAATTAAAAACTGCTGGAATGCTCTATTCAGAGCCATTGTTAAAATGGCTCTGTTCTTCTTAGAGGTCCAGAAGTTGATGACTTTAATGCCATATTTACACTTTTATGGTGAAAATTCCTTCACAAAACTTACAGTTCGTACCTAATCATGGGTAGGTGCTACTGTGTGGACAATCCAGCGCGCGCCAGCGGGATGCTGCATGCAAAACGTAAAACATTACGAAAAATCGTAAAATTGTAATGTTGTATTTTCATTGAAAAATTGTAGTGGTTGGCAGGTCTGACCGTGTTGCATATTTGATTTCTTTAGGACAGAGAATGTGGATGTGGTATGATTATGCCTTTGCTTGCAAAGTAGAGAAGAACTCCTCCTTTTGATCCATTCCAGTCGGTATCATATCAATCAGGTTTGGCATGGAACACAGTGCTTCTGCTAGATATCCACAAGTTGTAAATGCAGCACTTCATCAATCGGCCTGTTGAATGCATTTTTGATGTGTTTCTCCAAGATTCAATTCAATTCAATTTTATTTAATTCATTAAAAACAAAAACATTACATATAACGATCAGATATATAACATGACATTAAACACATTAAAAACATCTTGGACATGAAAATTAAAATAAACTGAATAGGCTGCAACCTGAAAAGGCTACGACCTGAAAGGAAACCATAATCCTTATAAGGAATCCAAGATGGATGCCAACCATGTACTCCTGCAGCAGCTTCTGAGGGAAAAGGTGGCGACAGACTGGGTGTCATTGCTATATGTCACCCAATATTTGTTGTTTTTCTTTGATTGCTGCTGTAGCTGACGGGTCTCTAGATGGCGACAGACTGGGTGAGGCTACCTTTGCGGAAGAAACGAGCGCGCTTGGATCAAGCATGGCTCATACCCAGGGTGACGCCGGAGGCGCAGGTAAGATTGAAAATGAGAAGGGAAAAAATATCTTGAAGTATTTGAAGAAGCAACGGTAATGCTGCCACGGTAATGCTCATATGCAAAATGTACAGGAGTCATTGATATCAGAACTTTATAGCAGATACCAACTCTTATGAATATATTTATAGAGAGAGTGAAAGAGATCTTATTAAAGAGTCTTATTTCATATTGATACATTTATAAGCAGGTGAATAGATAATTTAACGTTTGTGCTTCAGTTTCATTTTTATATATGTAAATATTTTGTGATATATAATATGTAGGAAGCCAAATCAAAATGTTAGTCATTTCATAACTCCTAGTGAATGAATTAAGTTTATAAATTACTTAAAGTGACTCAGTAAATTGCCTCAGATTCTGATACAAAATCCTGGATTTAGCTCATGCTGCAATGATAATTATAAACCTTTAGGTCATTCAGGAACCCCATGACTTTTACAAGCTGATCGCTTGTCTGATTATCAAGATATTTATGATTGGAAATCCAAATCACATTTTGCGTTTTCCTAATGATTATCATAACACTACAGTCTATAGGGGGAAATGATGATGGTACAACCAGGCACTCAAAGATTTTTACCTTTTTTGAGGCTCTTCATTATCATTTTGAAGCACAATTTTAAACGATGCCTTTAACTGTATGAGTTACTTAATGAATGCATTAAATTAACAAACAAACAAATTGATATCTGTGTTGTGCAGCCCTTCAGATGCGTCGCCGCATCTTGCAGCTCCTGGACTCTGTCGACTTCTCCCAGGCCTTCCCCATCCCTTTGCGTCTGGAGTCCTTCGAGCCCTCCGGCGTGGAGCAGACCATCCTCAACTGCGAGGAAAAGAATGAGTACGGCGTGCTGCTCTGCAACCTCAGACTCCTTCATCACATCCTCATGGACCAGCTCAACCGACACGGGGCGTCGGGGTCGGTCGCGGGTCAAAGGTCGCGGGTAGAGATGGTGGGTTTCTTGTGAATTTGTTAGCATTGGTTGGTTGGTGTTGATCTTTGATTCTTTCTCTGTCTCTCTCTCTGTCTCAATCTCAATCTGTCTCTCAATATCTTAAACACTCTCTATCTCTTTCTCTTTCTCTTACTCTCTCTCCCTCTCTCTCTCTCTCTCTCTGTCTCCTCCATCTCTCTCTTTCTCTCTCTCTCTCTCTCTCCCTTTTTTTCTCTCTCTCTCTCTCTCTCTCTCTTTCTCTCTCTCTTTTACACACACACACTCTCTTGTTCTCTTTTCCATTTGTGTATGTCTCTTTCTCTTTCTCTCTGTATACATCTGTTTCTCTCAATATCTCCCTCATTTTCCCTATATCTTCCGCTTTTTGTTTCTTTGTTCTGTCCTCTTCTTTTTCACTTTCCAATTGTAATGTATCCATTTACATCAATATTTGCTGTATGCATGTACAAAGTATATCTTTTGCTGTGAATATTCTAAAGATTTACAGAAACTATGACCATTATTCCTATGAAATTTGACAAGTCAAGACTTTTATTAGAAAAGTTCAAGCTGCTCCTTCAGCATTTGATTGTCAAGTGGATTTGGTGCCATACAAATCTTATGTATTGTTATTATTATCACGTTTACTTCAATTTTTCATATTCATTATGCAGGAAATCATGGAAATTCTGAAAACGGCCGTGTCGAGGAACAGCGTCAGACAAGCCCTCGGTGCCAAGCGTCATGCCTTTGATGCCTGGCGCCAGGTTCTGGAGGTTCTCCTGACTTCCTTGCCTCAGGAGTCCCTGGCACTGGAGATACGACAGAAGGTCACTGTGGATATCCTTCAAGAACTGCTCCAGAAGGTATGAAGGCTTCGATTTGTACCTCTGAACCCTTAGGTCACTGCTGTACCATCTTGTGTCAAGGAAACAGACATGCTCTTATTCTACTCACTTCATTAAACCCATCACAAGGACTTACATCTTGTTAAGCAAAATAGCATTTAAGACCTTGGTCTAACTTGCTTTTAGTCAACTTTACTTTAGACCGAGCCTAACATGAGAGATGGGTTTGAAATTTATTGGAGTATGGGCCATAGATATTTGCATCACTCAAAAGCCCTGTTGATATTGTTTTAGATACACTGTGGAGATATTTGCTTTTCCACTTGATCCATAACACTGCCTTGACAACATCGTCTCCTATAGGCCTGTACAGACATGAGGCTGTATTCTGCTGAAACTGCACTCAAATTTAAAGAGATCTAAACATAGTGGACTTTATATTTCTGAATCTTACAATATCCAATTCAGATTCAGAGTAAATCATGTAAATCACACTTGCCAATGTTGTGCAAACTGCTGTGATCTTTTACATTTAGAAGATTTGCCTCATGCCGTCCATTTTAACATGTAATGCTTTTTCGTAGGTGATGTTTGATTTGAGATGGTGTACTGCAGCATATTTGAACAAACTGGATTTTAATAATAAGAAGAATAATGGGTTCTTGTATAGCGCTCATGTTAGTCAGATTTGACCCACCTGGCGCTCCTCGTTATTACCCTGGCTTTAGCACGCCTACCATAAGTGGCTCTAGCGTTTGAAGGAATAAATTCCTACCAGGTACCCATTTACTTCACCTGGGTGGAGTGTGGCAAATGTAGATCAATGTCTTGCCAAACGACATTAGTGAGACAGTGGGACTCGAACCGCGGACATTGTGATCGACAATCCGGGGACGTATCCACTCGACCACAACACCTCTAATCTGTTCCCAATGTTTTTTTCACTAGGTCAACCATGAGGACGCGGTCGCCGAGCTGACCTCTCCCGTCGCCGGGGCCTTCCTCCTGCTGGCCATGACCCTGCGGCAGTGCTCTATCTCTGACCGCGCCCAGTCGGTAGCCAACCTCATGTCGTCTCAGTACGTCAATGTCCTGGACGGTTCTATGGTCCAGACCTTCAACCCGGATGCGTCCGTCCTCGGCGGAGGAGGGGGAGGCAGCGGGGGAAGGGGCGGAGGAGGAGGGGTCAAGATCCCAGTGGTATCGTTGACGTCTATCCTGAAAGAGCTTCTCACTTTCATCCTCTCTACAAGTGAGTAACATTTCTATTTCTGGACTTGGTGAATACTGTTAAACCAGGAACTTTTACAGCATGAACTTGTGTGTCTAGTAAAGAACAGCCTCATTCTCAGAAGAAGAATTTGCCTTTTTCCGGTAAAGATTTCATGTTGTGTCGGTTTTTAATCGATTATTGCACAGCATTAAACAATTGGGATTCTCGGCCACCTGATAAAATTCAGGAAAGCTGATATGTCTTTGCCCCTATTTGGCATTTGTAGCTTCCTAATTTCTGTTCTTTAGACTTATGGGATGTACCCTAGATTATTATATTTTCTTTCTGAAAACTTCTGTTTAAAAGTAAAACTCTAGGTCTTCCTAATTCATGCATGTCAAGGTTGGCAGGTACACATCTGTTGGTACATATGTTTTGTGCCATTTTAATCTTTGTATTTCTATCTTGTTTTTAGTATATTTAGGAAACTTTTTATGTAAATTTTACTATCTTTGGGAATAACCTTGAGCCATTGGCCTCTATTTTTCCCACCACATTATGATTTCAATTTAAGATGTTTCATTTTAAAGTTTGTTATTGTATATATGCATATAAATTGTACTTGATCTTAAAACTTGATCTTGAACTTGAACATCTCGGTCTTTGGGATGTGACACATATATAGACATCTGATGTCTTTGCACTTCTCTGTTCCCAGGTGGCGTCCAGCAGCGGGTCCGGACCAACCTCTACGGCACCCTGCTCAACTACCTGCAGATCCCCCAGAAACCACGGGAGATCCCCACCCTCCAGGGCTCCGCCTCCACTGCCATGAACTCTGGCATCCTGGAGGAGCACGACCGTGTCATGACCGCCAACCTGGCCGTCATCCAGGAGTTTGGAGAGTCCTTCTGCGAGCTGGTCTGCAGGGACGCTTGCGATGGTCATGAACTTGGGCGGGTAAGGGATCATGAACTTAGTTAGGTCATCATACTCTTTTAGAGGTCAATTTCTCAAATTACTAACTTTCACCCTGTACCCGATGATAGCGATTACCCTAACCCTTACTTGTACAATCTGGCCGTCATTCAGGAGTTTGGAGAGTCCTTCTGCGAGCTCATCTGCAGGGATGCGTGCGGCGGTCTCGAACTTGGGAGGGTAAGAGGTCATGAATTTAATTCTCAAGTCTTAAAAGGTCAATTTCTAGCATTTCTCAAGTTACTATCTTCATCCCTGCTGTCATTGAAGGACTGCTCCACTTGGACCAAGCTCTACAGAGATATCTACATCATAACCCTGGACCAATTTGTCTATTTTAGCAGTTCCCTTGCCCAAATTTCCAATGCTCTAATCACATTGTGTTTGTATCATTTGAATCTGTAGACCTTAGCACTGTCTGTCATCGATGCCATCAACTCCATCGACCGTCGAGGTCACTGGCTTAGTATCCTCACCTCCAAGGGCTACCTGAGGCACTTTATCGAGGGACTTGTGCACATGGACCAAGCCCTGCAGAGCTGTCTACAACCAACCCCGGAACCAATGAAGGCGCTCTACATCTATGAATCCACTTTGGTAAGCAGTGTTCACTTTGGATTTTGTAATGCCTGAGAGCAGATTTTAGTAAGTGGTACTGCAGCCGATTAATAAAAGGGATATTTATATAGCGCCAGTATCCACTAGGCTCTGACGCTCATTGCGCTTTACACATATTACCCTGGTTATAGCCGAGCTGCCAAAGTAAACCAGTGCTCGAGCACATCAGGTACCCATTACACCTGGGTGGAGAGTGGCAAATGTAGATTAACGTCTTGCCAAAGGACATTAGTGCTGCGGGACTTGAATCCCGTACCTTGCGATCTGCAGTCTGGTGACTTATCCACTAGACCACAACACCTATAGGCTTTGAGGTTGTAGTGTAGTCATTAATTTTAGTTGGCTGCCATTCCAAGAAACATAGAGTCAATTTCAATCTCACAATAGTCCAATGTTCAGGCTGGGAAGTTCTTTAGTGCCTAGATTTGCTAGAAAAGATACAAGTATATTGATACGTTGGTGTCTCTAACATTCTTATAAAGTACTTGGAAGAGGGATTCATTGTTTTAGTCGAAGCTTTTGTGGACACACACAGTGAAGAGAAACAGTACTTGAATTTACACAGATATAAACAAGAGAATACATGGCATTCTTTTTAACCGCACATAGATTAGATCTTCCAACCTCAAAATACGAAGATACACCAACAACATGGTGGCCTGTACTTCAACAGAAGAAGAAGAAGATATTGAGGTAATATTGCTCCAAGACTACAAGATGTGTGCATTTGTGTTTCTATTCATCCTAGTAACTGTCGTGTGCAAGTAAACCTTCATCACTTCAATGTATTTGTCTTACTTGCAGTCCCTCTTGATGCGAGTAGCGGAGAGTGCAAGCGGCGCCCAAGCACTGCTACAGATGGGTCTGATGGAGAGACTAGGCCAGTGCAGGTTCATTGATCTTAGGCCGGAACACCACACAATGAGGTAGGGTGATGCTGGACTCTCCAAAGTCATTTAAGGGCTGTAAGAAATGTTTAACAACTTTATGTGGGATACAAAAGCACGTCGCATACGTTAATAAGACCGTTTCATGAGCTTTTTAGGTGGATGAGGGGCTTATTGATGGACTAACTGTACATGTTTGATCCAAGCCCTGCCTCTACATGAAAAGCTTGGGGAGTTTGGCAACATCATCCAACAAATAATTTAAGTTTCAGAAAATCACTATGATATAGAATTTTGAAAATTTGCAGTGTGAATAGTGTGTAGGTGTATGTATAAAGTTAGCAGGCATTCCAATTCTGATCATTGTTTAAGTTTGCCAAGTTTTGTAAGAAAAAGATGTGGCAAAAAAAGAGTAAAGTTGTCTCTTAGAGAGTTCAAATATCCATCACTTGTTATCATGATCTTACAGTATCTTTAGCACATATTCCAGTTCTAATTGTTGTTTGGGTTTACCCAGTTTTGAAAGAAGAAAAAAGTGGCACAAAAGAGAGTAAAATTTTCTCTTGGAGAGTTCAAATACCCTTCCCTTGTTCACAAGCATCATCTCTCTCTCTCACTCACTCAATTTTTCACAGCCATCCTAGGCTAGTTGAAGGGATGGAAGCGATCGCTGTGGATGCCTTCCTTCCTGATGTCATGAGCCGCTATCATCAACTCCTCTTCCCAGTTCTAAGGCTCTGTACAGCAATTCTCACTTCGCTAGGCAGTCAACACAAAGAAGCAACCAGTCAGGTAAGAGCTTTTATCATTTAGCATGCCTAGATAAGCAAAAATTGATTACAGTTCGTGAACCATGACAGTCCTAAGACTGTGTAGGGTCAAATCTCACTTCACTAGACAGTCAACATAAAGAAGCAACCAGTCAGGTAAGAGTTTCAGTAATTAAGCATGCCTAGATAAGCACAAAATAAGTACAGTTGTTTAATCATGACAGTCTTAAGACTATGTTGGGTCTAATCTCACTTCACTAGACAGTCAACATAAAGAAGCAACCAGTCAGGTAAGAGCTTTAGTTATTAGGCATGCCTAGATAGGCAAAAAATGAGTTCAGTTGTTGAATCATGACAGTCCTAAGACATACATGTATGTAGGGTCATATCTCAATTCACTAGGCAGTCAACACAAAGAAGCAACCAGTCAGGTAAGAGCTTTAATCATTAAGCATGCCTAGATAAGCAAAAATTGAGTACAGTTGGTGAACCAAACAGTCCTGAGACTATGTAGGGTCAAATCTCAATTCACTAGGCAGTCAACACAAAGAAGCAACCAGTCATGTAACAGTTTTAATCATTAAGCACACCTAGGGAAGTAAAATTTAGTAGGATCACATTTGTAAAATGGCAGATCTAAATCAATTCTCAAAACCCTAGGCAGTCAACTCATATACTAATCGATCATGTATTAAACACCTTTTATCATCCAGCATACCTAGTGAAGTAGAATGTTGATGTTATGCTGTCAATTTTTCCCTACTCCTAGCACTAACTGCATGAAAGTATAGATATTTGTGTGTTGTCACAGCATTCTAACCTTATGTTAATGTTCATTGGTCTTTCATGGAACTTCATGCATTGAATGTACAGACATTTTCAGGATGGAATTTATGAAGAAAAAGAAATTACTGTTGACTTTTAGTATTTGTTATCAACCACGCAATCTGCACATACATTGTGTGTATATACAGTCAAACTTGTCTACAGCGACCGCCGAAGGGAAACACAAAGAGTGGTCTTTGTAGACAGGTGTCTTTGTAGACAGATTCCTTTAGTACATGATTCAATGAGAAACCATTTCCAAGAGGAAACCAAAAATGTGGTCTTTGTAGACAGGTGATCACTAAAGCAGGTTTGACTGTAGATGCATTTCGTCAATGGAAATGTTCTGTTTTACAGTCATGTTTATCTTTTTTCATCATTCTCTCATAGGTCCTGCACTTCATCATGGCTCACGCCGACACCTTCACGGCGATCCTTCGAGACCAGCACCAGCGCCCTGAGAAGGCATCCCTGGAAGAGCTTTCTCTCCTGACGGGGGTTGTCTGTACAGTCATGGGAGAAGGTAATTAACCGGTTGCCTACAGGAACCAAGTGACCTATGTGTAAAGTCTATGGGAATAAGATAATTCAGTAGTCAACGGGTTCAAAAAAGGACCAGCTCCATTTTCTGTTGACATCAATAGAGTAACATCACCAACAGTTATGCCTCTGGTGTTCGATATGCATCTTTTTGTGCAGCTACGTTTTGCTAGAAAGCTATCTAAGAGGAAATTCATTGAAGGCTAGAGAGACATCTCAGCAGCCGTACAAAATCTTTGATAATAACACTGGAGTACCTTTGTATGGATTCACAAAACCGTCATAAGTCCAAGTTCACTGATATCCAAGAAATGCGTGTTAATTTTAATACATGCATTTTATTAGATTGTCAACGAACTTGTACTTATGACAGTTTCGTGAAACGCTGTCCAGGAGTGCAAATGCATCATCGAAAGCCAGTTCTGTATGTATTAATTGTGTGAAACCAATGTTTCCCTTTCCTCACCATCACTATCTATGTTGTTTTTACAGTGGACTATTTTGACCCCGCCCTGTTGGAGACCACCGGCCCCGCCCACATCCCCCTCCAGACCCACCTGACCCGGCTCCATCGGCAGATCCTAGCCCTGGTGCCCCGGTTCTGCACCCTGGACCAGTGGCTGAAGGAGCTGAAGACCACCATCGAGGCGTGGCCGAGGGGCGGGGCCGATGGAGGGAAGATGGAGGAGAGACACGGGAAGGGCAGGGATTCGGATGGGAAAGGGACGAATGCAAGATCAGCGTACCTGGAGATTGTGAGCCATGTGTTAGGGTACTGTCGCACTGTGGTGGTTCGATCAGGTGAGTAGCTTGTAGTGCTTAAAGGTAAAAAACAGTTTTGGAAACGCCCCCCTCTTAAAAAATGAAATGGAAGCTCTTATTACCATTCATGTGAAAGAATATGTTTTGACTAATACGTGATGATACAAATTTTTACCAGCAAACCGCTTACTAATTGATATGTTTGGTAAATTATCATATCTATCCGACCTGGATAGATATCTCGTGGTCCCATATACATCTTTCTGTGCACAGTGCTCGTAACTTTACCAAGACTGGGCCAAATTTCTTATCATTTTGATGATTCCAGAACCTTACATTACACACCAATACTTATATGCTAGATGATCAACCTTTTCTGATCGATTCCACAACGTTTCTTTCACAATGCAATCGCATGACCAGAATTTGTCTATACCTTTAAAAGGAGTGGGTCGTCAGTTTTCATTTGGCCATATTTCACTGACTCCAGACTTGGTGGTAATTTCATTAATGTGTATTCAAGTCACATTGCAACCGTTGACCTATCAAGAAATACCCCCCTAGTCTCTCGGAGAATCTTCGGGCGATGGAAAAGTGAGAAAATGACTTTACCATATGTGCAGCGATTATATAAGGCCTATCGGCCATAAAACCAAAGACTTATCCTGGTGAATGACAACACCTGCTATGGGGTAAACACCTGAACAGTTTGATTCCCCCCCCCCCCTACTCACATGCTACATGATCAACCTTTTCTGACCCATTCCACACCGTTTCTTTCACAAAGCAATCGCATGAACTTTTATCTTTAACTACCTTTATTATACAAGCTTAGCTCAAGTATCTGTAGGGTGAGGCAGTGTGATGATTACTGATTTTCCTTTTTTCTCCAATGGCCTCTCTCCATCCAGGTAACAATGCCAATGACTGTCAGATCATTTTCACACCATCTCTCCAGGAGGCTGTTGCAAGAGACTACCAACGACTAGAAGGTATTCATACCAGTGAACTTTGACCTTCCTGATGTTGATGATAAAACAACTTGTAGAAGCTAATGAGGAAAGCAGCATGGATATTATTCAAATTTGAATCAGTTACTGTTGAATGTAATGGTTTTCATGAGTTTAAGAAAAAGTTGTTTAGTTTATTTGATTTTTGTTTGGTGCTGCTGCTCGCCAAACCTTTCTTTCCAGTGCTTTCTTGTATTGTATTGTAATGTAATGTATTCCATTGTATGTATTAAACATCTTTAATATACATCAATATACTGTAAATAAACATGCAATAGGATATACATGTACATAGTTATGAATACAAAAATATAGGTATTTAAAGAATGTAAGTATTTTGAGTCATAAAATGGACAATAATTGTATTAGCAATCTATGTGATAGAATAGTCTGCCCCTCTTTCTTCTACTGTTAGTCCATGGTTGTCGGATGATGTTTGCTAAGAGAGGAGAAAGAGAAGCCCACAAAGGATTTTTCACCTTTTTCTTCGCAACTTGGCCTTCTCGTGAAGCCCCTATCACATAAAGATATAACAAGTTCCACTAAAGGTCATTATTTGCTGTTTTATTTTTTCACAGCGTCAACTGTGGCTTCACTTGATGTCAGCAAGCCGCCTGGCCTTGGCGTCATCGTCAGACATCTCCGTCAGGCTGCCGCAGAATTTGTGGTCGCCATGGAAACGCATCAGCAGTCGGTCCACAAGCTGCAGAATATTGCAGATCTTCCAGCCGAGGAATTGAAAGAGGTTGGGACCCTTTTTTTTTCTTTATAGGCATCTACCACTTAATTTTCACCTATTTCTAGCATCATGAGCTCCTGTTAACAAAAAATAAGACCTTTAAAGTTTAAAGGGTCCCATTTCAAATTTAGTCTCTCAAATTATGTTTGACAGTGGTGTGCTTAAAGCCTCCCACTCAGTTTCTTTATGTCACAGCTTAGTGAAAATGTATTTATACTTTTAGGGAACTTATTTTACAAGGCCCTTTGGCCCTATTTTAGTTCCCCTTTACTAATTTCCGACTAGTAAATTTGGTATCATTGATACTGTTAACCTGTATGATTGCATGTAATTTTTTATATAATGTATATTGTTGTAATGATCTTTTGTCATTATGGATATGGAAATAAATGAACAAATGAAATGTAATGATATATAAAAATGGCGTAATGGTTTCCCTTGCAAGAAGCACTTGATTTATTTATATTTGGAATTACTCAAGTTAATCCTCACCATCATTAGGGTGAACTGATATAAAAAAATTGAATTGTGCTGATTCTGGAGTACATGTACCGGTAGGTAGACAAAACCCTTGCTAGGGATGCCAAATAAAATAGGATTAATTGTTACACTTAATTATTATTAATTATTTTTCACCTGTTCCCAGAACTCAACCTTCTCTTTTATTCTAGTTTCGCTTTATGTCAGTACATGTTTTGTATGTTTTTTCCTATCGTTTATCAACATCATTCAGCTGTCACATAGCGGGGTTGGTTCTGGGACGACCAATCTGTCCGCCCAGCACCGTCTTCAATTGGCAACGCGGAGGCTCACTCAAGACGTCCGTACCAAAGTCCAGGATCTCTCGCTTCTCTTCTGTATCCTTGGATAAACCTTAATCCTAAAAAAAGCTGTATTATTTTGCTGATTTGGACAACTCCCTCCCATATGAATTTCCACCATTGTGTGCTGAAAAGTCTTAAAACCTTGCTACAAAGAGGATATCTTGTGATGAATGAGCTCATAGACTTTTCATCTCCATTTTATATCTTGGAGGGTTCTATAATCGTCACTACTTTGTTTTCAATTCACTCTGACGAAAACAAAAGCATTCAACAGGAGGTTCCTATTTGTAACAAGATATTTTGGAGCTGATATCGTTAGGTTATTATAAAAACATAATGCAGTAAAAATTTCCATGGAATAATTATCATTAAGATCAGTTCTTTAAACAAGAAACAGTTGAACATTTCAAAGTTGTTTCCTAATGTTTATTCAAATTGTGTGGTTACAGTCATAGGATAAGGTACACATTTTTTAAACAAGGGAAAGGACAATCATTCCTTTTATTTAGACACCCTGTACCCTCAATACGGCAAACTTTCCTTGACTGCTTTTACCACTAAGATTCCATTGAATGCGACATGTTTCTTATCTGGCGCCATCTCGAGTACTACTTCTTGCATTGTCACCCGACGGGAGGTCCCTCTGCACCCTTCTCGCTCTCTTTCGCCCTCCGGCAGGCCCCGAGAAACCTAGGAGGTAAGTGCAACACAATCTGTTTAATACCGAAGGGCACATGCGTAAATGAGCGTTAGTGGTGTTTAGCAGTACCATAAGCATGCATGTCTGGGCCCAATCTTAATATAAAGAGTTGATATTGATTGAAAATTATTTGCGATTGATTTGGACCAATCACAACTCTTTATAAGATGGGGCCCTGATCACATGAGGTGTTCCTAACATGCATTAGGGAGTTCAGGAGGGAATTCCAAAGATGAATTCTTTCTGACAAGGGTATTTATAAACTTGTAAGGGTATCAACATGGGTTACAGATATCTAAATGCATACTGCCAACCAGAAAGAAAGCTTGGTCATGCCTAACTTCTCCATCTTGGATGCTGTAAGACCATTAGAAGATATTTATATATACTTTTTGTAATTTCATTGTTTAGGGGATTTGACGTTGTTCTAGCAACTGAAAGGTTTCAGCTTTATTACTTAAAAAATATAAAGATGAGTTGGTAGTAGGGGTTTTAAGATAATTGTTTAGAAATTATGGTGAGATTTAGTTGTAGTATGAAGTCTAAGGTTCAGATCCACTTTGTTAGATCAGTGTAAGATTGTGATGGCAGAGTAATTGACACAGGAACATGTTTATTGTTTACAGCTGTGGTCATTGCATGTACATGGACACGGTATTAGTAAAAATCCATATTTCTTCTCATTTAGATCTGTCCAGTCCATCACTAAACGTGTCCCGAGACGACGGTCAATCCCGCTTCCCGCCGGTCAGCCCTCAAGCCCTCGGTATCACCCAGGAAGACCTTAAACAGCTCCGTCTGGACGCCACCAAGTGCCTCAATGAATCGCTCCTCAAGCGCGTCCAAGAGATTGAGAGCCGTTTCGCAGCTCAGCGTCGGACGCGGCATGCTTTTGTGGCGGCGTTGGCACGGCGTATACGTCGACTCGTCACCTTGGATGCACCCAGGTGATCTGCCCACCCTGGAAGCGTAACGGAACTTAAAATTTATTATAGAACACATTATCATTGTGTGGGAATACCATGATGGCCTTAAATCCAGAACTTATTTCAAAGGAGGTAACCTACTTGTGGATCCATGGAACTTTCTTAGTGTTTCCCAGTATAGATTGTATGATAGGTATGTATATATTCTACGTGGAATCGTGCACTTTGTATTGCAGGCATGGTATTTGTACTTTAAACAGCTGACTTGGAACCAACTTTGAATGTTTGTATTGAGAAAGATGTGGACAACTATTAAGTATGAACAAAAATATTGTAATTTCAAGGTGAAATTGTCAAGGAACACGACTGAAGCAATGTCCCTAGCCAGTTTTTCTTGCACTTTAATACACACATGTGGTGTGTGTCCAGTTACCGTCTTCAAATATGGTAACTACAGATTTGTAGGACGGGTCTGGTCTGGATGTCATTAGTCATCGCAAATGGACATCAGATGATGATGGCATAACTCACTTTGTACTTAAGATATGTCTTGAACCTTTTGTATGTGAATTACATTATGTGTTGTATCTTGTGAATGTACGATAGGGGGAATAGAATTGAACAGTATTTTGAAGCTGTTATGTTGTAAAGAAATTATATGTCCGGTAGTAGTTTTTGTGGTACATTTAGATGAGCGTCCTATCTGCTCTCAGCCAAACTAATTAGTGTTAGACAACAAAGAAACTTAATGTGTAGCAAACTCACTTTGAAAGAGAATTTGTGTACTATGTGAAATCTTGATGCACAATTTTTGCACATGTGATGTGTCTATTAAACGTTAAAATATACAATGTTTCTTTATTATGTATCTAGCCTGCTGTGCATGAGCAATTATTTTGATTGAATTCCTACCTGTGCTCAAAGAGCTTATGAAAGAAAGCAGTGAATCCCGTACATGTATGCCAGTAACTCAGCGCATCGTTTGCACTGTCCATTTTGTAACGTTTAGTACGACGTGGGGTTCCCACAGTAATTGAAAATGAAGAAAAAAACATTTCCCAAAGTCATGGAATGTCATGGAAATTGATTGTGGGTGTAAGCCGTGTGTGGCAATGGCAGCCTTCCAGTTTGAACTAACAATTCTGATGCCGTAACCCATACCACAGTGGTACTTATCAGGGACCAGTCTCACAAAACCTTTTTTTCAATGACAAATCACACAAATCAGTGACAAATCTGCTGATTACCAATCAGAAGCAAGGATTTCATTAGCTTTAACCCTACGTTAACTGGGGGGGGGGGTCAATTTGACCCCCCCCTGTAGGAATTTCGCGACTACTCCGAAACCGCGGCAGATATAAAATTTTCCTTTCATGACTTTTTACTTTCGAGTCTTACGCATCTTTTAAAACAATTTTTTTGAAAATCGGACCTACGGTTACAAGGTCACGTGACCATTTGTCTTTGCTTGTCAGCCCGAAAATCGCTCATTTTCGTGATTTGTGTACAAAACATATGTAAAAGTCATTTTTCCTAAAAATAGATAAAACATTGGTTATTCAGTCTTGTTTAAAGTTTAGATGTTTGTTTTGGGGTCAAAATAGTTGAATTGTAGTTATAAATGAAATAAAACAACAAAAACAATAAAATACATAAGTTAAAAAAACAATGAAATACATAAGAAATTATAAAAACAAGAGATAACATAAGGATTAACCTGGCTCTTCCAATTTTTTGTGTTGTATTATTATTCCAAATGGTCTAATAAATATATGTAGTGAAAAAGAATATGTAAACATGAATAATCTATGATTTATGGGCAGAAATGTGAATTTGATGACCTTATTTGCATAAATTACCATAAATATGCAAATGAGTGAATTTTTCAAAAATTTGAAATTACCATAGTATTCTATACACTTCACTTGACATGCATGCAAATTTTCGCGGCGATCGGCGGTGAAACGGCCGAGATCTTAGGGGGGGGTCAAATTGACCCCCCCCCCCCAGTAAAAACCTGGTCTGAAATAGCCCAGTTAAAATAGGGTTAAAATAAAAAAAACTGTCATTTGTCATTGATGGAAAGTTTTGTGAAATGGTGCGTCATAGGATGTCATGGAAAGTCATGGATTTGGGTTCTCAAATATCAATGGGAACCCCGATGTAGATGTCACTCGTACATTGCGAGTCAAAGGCCATACCAGTGTTTATGTCAAGGAAATGATGCTTCAAGTGCAGCATGTGTTATGATTGAAAGGGGATTCCAACTTTTTGAATGTCCTATTAATTTTATTTTCAATGAGATTGGTATACAAGATCATGAAAATTCCCAATATAGTTGTACTCTACATTTACAACCATTTTTCGAACTTAAAAAGCTGTAAAATTTGTTATGTGTGATTGTCGAACTGCAGTCGCACTCTGTTATGTTGTTTATTTGTATAATACATGTATATGTGTTTTATGGAATGCTCGACTATGCCTGTAATACTTGTTATGCCATTGAAAACTGTATTGTGCCCCTGGAAAGTAATGATATGATTTTAAAATAATGATTTGTAAAAATGAAAATGAATAAAATGTGAATATATCACTGGAAGATGTTAGAAATGCACACTTGTATTTTGAGAAGTATTTTTGTTGTAGTTCTCTCTTAGGGTATCTCAATCTGTACAATGTTACTCTCTCACTCTCGCTCTCTCTCTCTCTCTATCCTTTCCTCCCTCTCTCTATCCTTTCCTCCCTCTTCCCTTCTCTTTCTCTCTTCCCTTCTCTTTCTCTCTTCCCTTATTTCTCCCTCTTCCCTTCTCTATCCCTCTTCCCTTCTCTTTCTCTCTTCCCTTCTATTTCTCTCTTCCCTTATCTCTCCCTCTTCCCTTATCTCTCCCTCTTCCCTTCTCTTTCTCTCTTCCCTTATCTCTCCCTCTTCCCTTATCTCTCCCTCTTCCCTTATCTCTCCCTCTTCCCTTCTCTTTCTCTCTTCCCTTATCTCTCCCTCTTCCCTTATCTCTCCCTCTTCCCTTATCTCTCCCTCTTCCCTTATCTCTCCCTCTTCCCTTATCTCTCCCTCTTCCCTTATCTCTCCCTCTTCCCTTCTCTATCTCTCTTCCCTTATCTCTCCCTCTTCCCTTCTCTTTCTCTCTTCCCTTATCTCTCCCTCTTCCCTTATCTCTCCCTCTTCCCTTCTCTTTCTCTCTTCCCTTATCTCTCCCCCTTCCTTATCTCTCCCTCTTCCCTTATCTCTCCCTCTTCCCTTATCTCTCCCTCTTCCCTTCTCTTTCTCTCTTCCCTTATCTCTCCCTCTTCCCTTATCTCTCCCTCTTCCCTTATCTCTCCCTCTTCCCTTATCTCTCCCTCTTCCCTTCTCTTTCTCTCTTCCCTTATCTCTCCCTCTTCCCTTATCTCTCCCTCTTCCCTTCTCTATCTCTCTTCCCTTATCTCTCCCTCTTCCCTTCTCTTTCTCTCTTCCCTTATCTCTCCCTCTTCCCTTATCTCTCCCTCTTTCCTTCTCTTTCTCTCTTCCCTTATCTCTCTCTCTTCCCTTATCTCTCCCTCTTCCCTTATCTCTCCCTCTTCCCTTCTCTATCTCGCTTCCCTTATCTCTCCCTCTTCCCTTCTCTTTCTCTCTTCCCTTATCTCTCCCTCTTCCCTTATCTCTCCCTCTTCCCTTATCTCTCCCTCTTCCCTTATTTCTCCCTCTTCCCTTCTCTATCCCTCTTCCCTTCCTTCTCCCTCTCCCTCCTTTCCTCCCTCCTCTCTACCATTCTCTCCCTCCTCTCTGCCTACCTCTGTCTCCTTTTTTAATCTCTCCAAACTCTCCCCCCCCCCCTTATAGAAATAAAGAGGCATACACCCTGGCTCATTAGCTTTGGTACAAATTTCACAATTTATTACCCCGTATAATTTGACATTTATCACCAAAAAATTCTTTTTTGAGAAATATTTTTGTTGTAGTTCTCTCTTAGGGTATTTCAATCTGTACAATGTTACTCTCTCACTCTCGCTCTCTCTCTCTCTCTATCCTTTCCTCCCTCTCTCTATCCTTTCCTCCCTCTTCCCTTCTCTTTCTCTCTTCCCTTCTCTTTCTCTCTTCCCTTATTTCTCCCTCTTCCCTTCTCTATCCCTCTTCCCTTCTCTTTCTCTCTTCCCTTCTATTTCTCTCTTCCCTTATCTCTCCCTCTTCCCTTATCTCTCCCTCTTCCCTTCTCTTTCTCTCTTCCCTTATCTCTCCCTCTTCCCTTATCTCTCCCTCTTCCCTTATCTCTCCCTCTTCCCTTCTCTTTCTCTCTTCCCTTATCTCTCCCTCTTCCCTTATCTCTCCCTCTTCCCTTATCTCTCCCTCTTCCCTCCTCTTTCTCTCTTCCCTTATCTCTCCCTCTTCCCTTATCTCTCCCTCTTCCCTCATTTCCCCCTCTTCCCTTCTCTTTCTCTCTTCCCTTATCTCTCCCTCTTCCCTTATCTCTCCCTCTTCCCTTATCTCTCCCTCTTCCCTTATCTCTCCCTCTTCCCTTATCTCTCCCTCTTCCCTTCTCTTTCTCTCTTCCCTTATCTCTCCCTCTTCCATTATCTCTCCCTCTTCCCTTATCTCTCCCTCTTCCCTTATCTCTCCCTCTTCCCTTATCTCTCCCTCTTCCCTCATTTCCCCCTCTTCCCTTCTCTTTATCTCTTCCCTTATCTCTCCCTCTTCCCTTATCTCTCCCTCTTCCCTTATCTCTCCCTCTTCCCTTATCTCTCCCTCTTCCCTTATCTCTCTCTCTTCCCTTATCTCTCCCTCTTCCCTTATCTCTCCCTCTTCCCTTATCTCTCCCTCTTCCCTTATCTCTCCCTCTTCCCTCATTTCCCCCTCTTCCCTTCTCTTTCTCTCTTCCCTTATCTCTCCCTCTTCCCTTATTTCTCCCTCTTCCCTTCTCTATCCCTCTTCCCTTCCTTCTCCCTCTCCCTCCTCTCTACCATTCTCTCCCTCCTCTCTGCCTACCTCTGTCTCCTTTTTTTAATCTCTCCCCCCCCCCCCCTTATAGAAATAAAGAGGCATACACCCTGGCTCATTAGCTTTGGTACAAATTTCACAATTTATTACCCCGTATAATTTGACATTTATCACCAAAAAAATTCTTTACAATTTCATCAAGACCACACACATTTGGTTTTTGTTCAAATTGTATACATTGACAGCAATGTAAGTCTTATGCATACAAATCAACAACAAATAAAATAACTTCATGAAAAAGACCATAAACTGAAGTACTTCATAACAGAAACATACAAAACAAAGAATATATATATATTTATATACTATTTCAAAAAATTCATGATTGAGTTGCACAAAGGAGAAAATTCATTTATAAAAAAGGGAACAAATAGTTGCAAAGTTTTAGAAGGGATTGAGGATACAAAACACCGTAGATGCACGTTATGCAAGCTATTAATTATTAATAAATAAATTATAATAATTAAATTATGTTATTCAAGTTTTTATTCAAAATACAGACTGAATTCAACTGAATTAATTTGTGTTTTAAACCTCAAATCTAATTAGCAGTTAAACTGTGATTGTCAACATATAAGTACAATATTCTGTTCACATTTATAAATCAAGATTTTATGTACAACTAGGAGTCTACATAGACCTTATTCAATTCATTTGATCTATTCAATTTTCAATTTGAAGTGCGCTGTGTACTGATATTAGCACATACATATACATGTATGGTATGCTGAGTACCCGCTACAGATATTTTATGGTAAGGTTCGTCTTTCAGATTTAGTTTAGGGATGGAAGGATGTAATGTGCATTACACAGGAAGCATTGTTAACGTTTGATACTAAGGAACACTAATATCAAAATGAACGAATAACAATATCATGATTAAGAACTATACCGTGACAATCCTTCTTCATGTTGTGGTTCTACTCAATACTAACATATAATTCAGAGCCCAAATATATGCTAGATACATGGGAAGAAAGGGTGAAAAATTCTACACACTGTGTTTGTTTTCAAATTTATTGTCTTTGATGCCAGAAATCTGAAAAAGGAAACAAGCATTACATTCATAAATTGGCAACACAAGAGATTCAAAATCAATGTTATTAAAATCACAAAATTTAAATCAACTTTTCAACAATATTTTAATTTCTATATTTTTTTCAGAAACATTGCATTCTATTTCAACAATGTAGCAATTAAAATTTAAAATATTACTGTTGCCAATTTGAAGAACAATATGTAATATTTAGGTCTAAAAATTAATCTTTTCCTAGAAGAGATAGATACATAGGTACATGTACAAGTTCTCTGTACATGTTTGTTTATTTAGTGGCACATTTAAGGTTACAATTACTGAACATGATCTTTTAACATGGTTTTTACATGTATTTTGCTTGGTACATTATACATGTATGATGAATAGAAATGCATGATCTGTACAAAGTGCTTGGAAAATACATTTACATGTACATAAAATGTGTAAACAATGACATAAAAATGAGGTATTACAAACATCCATGCTATATGTAAATTGACATAATTTAAACATTTTTTTTCATGGAACCAGCCATTCAAAAGTGTTAAAATATTGACAAACACCACCAAAAAAAAACATTGTACAACAATCTGTGATACAAAAAGAGAAAACATATATATACACACACTTGTATACATTATATCTTTATAAACTAGAACATTCTCGAAATGGATCGATCTCGGATAGATAGAGTTATGAATACAGCATATACAAATAATAGGGTCTGCATTTTAAGTGAATGCTATTTAACTAAACAAAACAATTCCAAAGACAAGAAATACAACTGTATACCGTTAATCCTTTGCACTGTTGATTTCTTTTTTAAAGTAAGTATTCCTTTTGCCATTCAGGAGGAAAATAGTTTGTAGAGTTTAATAGAAAGTGATTTCCACAGAATAAGCGAACAAAGATATGAACTACCGGATAGTCACAAATATGTGCACAACATGTACATATTAAAGGAATTATTCTCCATAAAGTTAAGTAATGATGGCATTACAGTGTACATGTTTAAAAATTATTTGCATGCATGTATCCATTACATGAACACAGTCGAACTGATCACCTAATTTGCATGATTTCGCTTTTTAAATGGTAATTTGTTTCATGATCAATATCAAAAAATGAATGTTAGAAGTGAACAATTGGGTCCATCGAACTTGTAATCTTGATAATTTGTTTTCATCTAGAAATATCTCTCCTGCACAAAAACATGTTCATGTAAGCATACACTGCTATGGTGAAGCCATAGATAAGTGCCATTATACGCAACAACCTCTCATTTTAATGAAGGGGACTGTCCCCAATTAGGAAGAATTTTGTTTATTTCCTGTCAGTTCCAGACTTATATGGCTTTGCCGTGTAAAAAATGTCTGGTTTTGAAAAACCCTAATGAAGTCGCATCTACGTGTACTAAGAGATATACCCTGGGATACCTACATAATGAGATGAACAGGACAATAATTGTCCAAGGTACTGCATACTCTGTACTAGTTTTTTGTCCATACAGATATTTTCACGTCTTAAAGGAAAGCCAGTTCTTTATTACATGGAGATACTATCTGTACATGCATGGTCAGTCAAAGAGTGTGTTCAAGAAATTTTTTAATCTAGAATCACAAACATGAATCACAAAGCAAAACGCTGTTACAAAACATGGTTACTACGGGAGATCGTTCAAGCGATTTTCCATCAACCGGAAGCAGGCCACGATAATGACATAATAGAATCATGATTGAGATCTCTGTTGCGTTCGAGCGATTTTAAGCCAGATTCTAAAGAATCACATTACAAAAATGCATCTTTTTCAGCGTTTCATGTTTGTATTTTGAAACACGTTTATATTTTATGACCGACAAAAAAAACGCTTGAAATTGCTTGAACGCAAACGTGTTTAAAACTAAACAACTTTGAGGCCGCGTTTCTAGGGTGAAAAAGTGTCGCTTGAACGCACCCAAAGGTCATTTAAGATGAATGCTGGATGCATTTTCATGAAGGTTATATGAAGCTTATCATCATTCATTTATGCACTGATGGTTCATGCTATAACTATATTCTAAACGCATTAAGTGGGAACTCTCCATGTCTGCTATATCAGTTGATATTTGGGGTCATTTTCACCTTAACATGTTATCTAGATGGAGAAACTGGTCTATCGTTAATTTGGTCTGCTTTTCATTATTAACGTCAATCTTATAATTTTACCCTGTAAGCTTTATGTAGGATAGATTGAAGCACAATTCAAAACCTGATTTTCTTAAATTGATTAGAAAATGTTAAATGCCACATGCACAGCCCATTAAATAATTCTGATCTTAAGATGTGTATTTGAAATACGTATTCATGCATATATCTTTAGTATTATCCCAACATTTGGAATGGCAATGAATGAATTCTATCAAGTACATATGATAACGTCTCTTTCATTCAACAGATTTGATCAATGTTAGCTCCAATTTTCATGGTGTTCCTACAACTAATACCATATAAAATGTACAAAGCTGAAGATTAATTCCAAATTCCTGTTCATTCAGAGGCACTTGGCCATACAAAGGAAATAAAATTGATTCACACGGAAATGAGCGATGATTGTAAATTTATCAGGCGAGTTCTGTTTGCTATCGATCTATCACCGAATTTTGTTGTCAGGCCAGACATCATGCCGTGTCCTGCGCGTCGAAATGTCTGTATCTCCTTCCACCTGCCTGTGCGTATTCGCGAGTGCTACCGTCTTTTCGATATCAATCCTGGCGTAGATATCGTTCTTAGAACCGGGCACGGTTGGGACGATCTCTGTCGGAGGCGAAACCGGTGTTTTGGGCGGCGTGGTGCTGGTGCTAGAGCTCATGGAGCGGCGAAGCGTTTTGTTGATATTTGTGAAGATCGGTTGGTCATTCTCGTCGAAGTCTAACTGGATGTAGTTCACCTTGCCCTTCGGTGGCGGCTGAAGAATCATCCAGTTCCCGGCGCCATTGGTGGCGGCGCCGTTGCTTGAAAGACTGTGGCGCAAAGGCTGCACCTCTGGTAACGTGTCCAGATTGGCATAGTTGTGATCCACAGGCGAACAGCTCCCTCTGCTGACCTCAAAGGTGAACTCTGATCCCGTGCTGCCTTTGCTGGACGTGCTTCGCGGGGTGCGAAGCTCGGGGTAGGAGTGGAACCCGTTGGGTTGCCAGTTGGGTGGTAGCTCACCCGCCGTGTCTAAATTTGCATAGTACGAAAGCGGCGAGACGCGCTGACTGGCTGACTGACTGGCGTTACTGGAGGAGTTGGAACACACGGTGCAGGGGGATATGTTACCGTTACGACTCGTCTCCAGCTTCTGGAGCACATCCTGGATCTGTTGTTCAGTTAGATTTGCATAATTGACAAGAATGTTTAACTGGGAGTCTGCGTCCACATTGCGATCTTTCATACGGATGTTGCCATTTGCGACGTCTTGTAATAAAGCTGTTGTTCTTTCAATGTCGCTAACCTCTCGCTTTCCATTTTTCTTGACCTTTAACCTTACATCGCTTTTGCCTCTCTCCTCCTCATCCACTATCACATGGCTGACATCAACCTTTTCCTCGACATCCTCACCACTTAATATATTCTTTGATGATCCATCATCTTTCAAATTCAAATGGCTCACCAAGGAGGGGGCTTTTCCCTCCTCTTCTTTAGAGTTTGTTTCCTTTTCCGGTTTACCCTCCATCTTATCCTCTCCTACCCCTGAATCACATCCTAACCCTGAGGCTCTATCATCGCTTTGGTTCTCACCGCTGTTTTCCAGCTCAGCTACGATTCCACTTTCATCTTTGTCCTTCGCTCCACTTCCTCTATCACCAACCTCCTCATCGTTCTTCTCAATCCTTGATTCTTCTTTCTCCTCATCACCCTCACCCTGTTCCTTCCTTTCCCCTGAGTTTGTCCTCTCCTCATCATCAGTGTTCTGCTGAGCATCACCCCCATTGTTTTTATCTTCGTCTGACGGTAGCTTAAGCCTCGCGTAATTAAGTGCAGGATCTCCAAAGCTGTCTGAACTGACATTGTGACTACTTGCTTCTTCAGGGATGACACCATTTACAAGAGAATCTTCGGGAGTCTGCCAAAAACGGAAAATAAAAATGCATTGATCAATCAATCAAAACTAAGCGTAATGTTCATCATCAGCCATAATTTATTAAAAAGGTTAAACCCTACCTTATTTAACAGAACCTTATATTAACTTCTTTTACATGCTGTAGCATTAACGTTTAAACATCATTTGGGCAAGGGTTATTTTGTAAGTCTTCAAATTCTCGACTTGTTCATGAATTGCAGAGATTGGCATAGAACATTGTTTGTACAAAGATGTTTTTAGGACAGTCATGGCACAGAAAGTTATAACACTAATCAAATTCTTGAATTAAACTGAGTACCAAACAATGTTCCTTCATGCAATACTGTACATGAACTTAAACCCCTTGCAAAATCCAATTGTAACCCTAACCCTTACCCTGCGTATATCTTAGACATAATAAAACATGGAACAAATGTTAATAGTGGAAAAGAATAACGCACAAATAGTGGAAAAGGGAAATATGAATCTATACATAACAAAATTGTCTTGATATCATTTTGTATGGAAATATATATATATTCTAAAACTTGAGTTGTTTTTGACGGTGAAAAGGACCAGAAACAACCGACTTACCCCTTCAAGAGGAGACTCAGGGATATCTCCAAAAGCACTTGAATTCATATACTGCATGGTAGGGGAGATGGGCGACATCCTAAGGCAGGTACTAACGCTTCCATTCCCGTTGAAGTAAAGCGGGCCCGGACTGGTCGGGGGTGGGAACGAGACGTTGGAGCTGATGCTGGGATGCGGCGAAAGGCTCCCGTTGGCGACACCGTGCGCGGCACCGTTCACCCCGGACGCGTTGGAGCTGGCCCGGCTCATGGTTTGACTCGGGGGTAAGGCTGTGTCGTTGCTGAGGCTCCGTTGCCGTGACGCCCTCGAGGCGGGGAGGTTGGGCGTGGTTGGAGAGGGCGTGGTTGGAGAGGTAGCGTTCTCCTCGGTGTGCTGTGCATTCTCTTGCACCAATCGGAAGATCTGGATGGCATATTTACTCTTGAAGGCATAGATACCTTGATAAGCAAAACATTCACAGAGCAAATGGATCATTAAGAGTAATTCTCGACTAACGAATGATGGTATAATTATCAGCAATTCACATGGCGTAGATACCTTGATAAGCAAAACATTCACAAAACAAATGGATCATTAAGAGTAATTCTCGACTAACGAATGATGGATTAATTATAAGTCATTCACATGTCGTTCCCTAGTTAAAAATGGTGTGCCCCAAGATCTATTCTAGGCCCCTTGTTATTTTTATTATGTCGGGGAGGTAGCGTTCTCCTCCGTATGCTGTACATTCTCTGGATGGCATTTTACTCTTGAAGGCGTACATACATTGATAAGGAAAAGATGAACGAAGTAGATTAATTATTTACATTAAAGCCTGTCTGCACTAGTTTGGCCAGGAAGGATTAGACCTCCCTTCGTGGTCACTGACAGGTGGTTATCTCATCAAATCAGCTCAATTAACATAAGAAAAAGAGGATCATGGGGGGGGGGGGGTCCAACGGGTATCGCTTAGGCATTGTTTGCTATATCGAGGACGTAAGTAGCTACAAGTAGTGCAGTCCTGCTTTAATTCTTTACTATAACCAATGATGGTATAATTATCAGTGATTCACATGTAAGAACATGACTGAAGATATGAATTCACAAACTGCTACCAAACAAATACATGCTCATCATTGCCTTTGTCTACTACACAATCGCTTTATAATATACTGGTAAGCACTCATATTGTTTAACTACCAGTCTGGTAGTTAATTTTCAAATTACTCTGAGAGTAATTTGAAAATAATATATTAAATTAAAATGCCCCTCTTTTTAGAAATTTACCAAGAAACTTTAAAGTAGAAATTTAAGATTTTACATCCCACCCCTGCCACTCCTTTATTAAAAAGTATGTGAAGTCTTTGGATTTTAAAGACATAACAAGAAAAACAAATTATAACCAGCTAGTGCCCAAAAATCTTCAGTATCTGGCGCTGCTCAGTGGCTGCCGGGCTCACGATCAATTAGGCAAAAAGAATTTCCGTTTTGGTTTGATAAAATTTGGAGTGGACTATTGGGCTGTTATTATTATTATTATTATTATTATTATATCCACATCACTTTTAAAATCAATTTGTGCTATAGCCTTAACATTTCATACATTTTGGTAAGTTTCTACTTTACTTGTTTGTCCAAATGAAAAAAATAAAAATAAAAGAGTTTGACGTTGCTCACCTGGTCCTGTGGCACATCTCCGCCCACTCTCAAAGGAAAAGAGGTTGGCGTCATGGCCGTAGCGACGGAGACACCTCAACGGCCACTTGACCGTCTCCGCGTTGACCACATGGAGGATGAGGTCAGTCTGCGTGACCTCGAGGTAACCCTTATTTACGACGTGCCCGGACTCGTTCACGTTGCGCACTTTGAAGCAGTTGGGCTCCAGCCCAGCCGACGCCCCGTTCTTGGGGCGCAAGCAGTGGACGTCGTTACCCATGGCAACTGTTGGGTGTGGTCCCCAGCTTACTGAACATGTGATTGGTTAAAGTGGCTGTCAATCATACAAGAATGTCTGTGAAAGGAGATAAAAACGAGGGCATGGAGGATAAGACGCAACATCATACTGGTTACAAGCAAAATAACGAAAAATTATGCAAAAATCAGTACTAAATAAAAATAGAGAACATGATTTGCGTGTTAAACTCGTGCACTGCCTTTATATTCATCATTGTTGAATATCACGCTACATGTTTAGATAGATGTCAAGTTTCAGGCAAGTTCTACTTGGCTCAGGCACCATAAGTTTGTTGACCAAGAACTCAATGTTCTAGAGCTTCCTCACGAAAGACAGCTAGTAGCCGCAAGCGATCTCTAAAATATACAGACCATGTGTTTGTACATGTAGAGAACTTCACTAGGTCATCCAGGTAAACTGTACATTGGGATCATTAAGTACCGGTACTGCAACTGTGACGCAGGAACGCACTCTTGTACTTGTGCACGTACATGTAAGGTTGTGTACAGTTGTTAATCATAAATTATTGGATAGAATGTCAAGGGCTATACATGTTCATGTACATAACATCCTCTTTATTTTTTATTGTTCCATGCTTTCTTGATCTTTCTTTCTAATTTTCTCTACTTCTCCTTTTCTCTATCTATATCTCTCTCTCTCTCTCCCAAGCCTGCCCATACGTCACCTAGCAACATTAGTTTAATGTATCCCCTATCCCTCTCATTATGACTAATGTGCTCCTTCTCTCACTGCCTCCCTCCCTACCTCTTTCCTTTCCTCTCTCCCTCTCTCTTTCTCTCTCTACCACTTTCCCTGTGTCTTCTCTTCCTTTCTTGTCCCTGACTATAAACGTGCATTCGTTTCTCTCACTCTCTCTCTCTCTCTCTCCCTCTCTCTCTCTCTCTCTCTCTCTCACTCTCTCTCTACACTTACTTTCACAGCATACATGAACATGAACATGTACATTATCACCACTAACCATAAAATGAACATGCATGTATTTATGTTACTATTCTTTGTAATAACTTTCTATTACCGGTATATCCCTCACTGTCCTAACCTCCCTATCTTCTCTTTCTTCTTTTCTTTTTTGCTCTCCATCTTTTCTTCTCCCTTTCCTCAATCTATCTGTCTCTCTCTCTTTCTCTCACTCTGCTTTAAGTATCTTTCTGCTACGTCTGTCTGTCTCTCTCTCTCATCTTCTTGTCTGTCTCTCTCGTCTCTTCCCCCTCACTCTCTCGTCTCTTCCCTCTCTATCTCCTTTCTCCCTCTCCTCATCTATATTAAGAACCCTCTTTCCCCCTCTCTCCCTGTCTCTTCTCATTTCGTGCCATGGCAGCAACATGAAAACAAGGTCCCTGGGAAAAACAACAAGCAAGCGATCCAGCCAGCCTTGCTGCAGCTATATAGCTCAGTCTAGGGGTCACGTTGGCCAGGGGCTTTATGTTAATTTTCTCTACGTATATACATGGAGATGTACGTACGCAACCTGGCTGGAAAACAGATAACTCCTGCCAAGCACTGCACATGCCCCATATATATCCCTCCACAGGTAAATCCATCAACGATTCCCCAGCTTTTTCAGGGAGCATAAAATAAAACCTCAAATATCGTACAGTCAAACCTTTCGAATAATTTCACACCTCTCTATAAAGACCACCGGTCTGTTATGGTCACCTCAATGTAAACTGTATGTACATGTAGTCTCCCTTTGGAGAAAACATGTTGTAGAACCTGTCTAGAAAGGCCACCTGTCTACAATCATGACCATTTATATGTTTTCTCTCATGTGGCCATAAAAGAAAAGTTTGACAATATAGATGTAAATTGGAAGAATTGTGCATCCAATAAACACATCATCTCTAAATTGCACTCTGATCGAGTTACAAGATACAGAAAATAAACATGGAGACTCTGAAAATAACAATCTATCAGCACAACCATAAGCAGACTATGCCAACATATTGCATTTCTGTGACGTAATTGTTGATAAAAATACTAGAGTGTGTGGGTGGGTGTGTGTGCGTGCGTGGGTGAGGATGTATTCCTTCAATTTTGTAACTCATTTTGGAGCACTCTCCCTAATCTCATCACTTTCTAGCATTTAACTGAAGTCTAGACCTTCATATCTTACTTAGATAAGGATCCAATTTTTACTTCTATATTTAGTCTTCTTTTTCTTTGGTTCACCGTCTTATATTGAAGTCTGCTTATTTGCCAAAAGGCTTTTAAAGATAATCATTTAAAAAACATACTCATGCATATTCTTAATTAGAAGATTTTCAAAGGTATCATTACAGTCAAACCTGCTTTACTGACAACCTGTTTTCAAAGACCACCCGTCTACAAAGACCACATTTTTTGTTTCCCTAGAAAATGGTTTCTTGATAAAACATGCACTATAGGCACCTGTACATAAAGACCACCTGCCTATGAAGACCACTTTTCTTGTTTTCCCTATTGGAAAAGTTTCACTGTATTATCTACTGCAGTATTTTCAAGTGTACCATACATGTCATGAGTGTGGCTATGTTTTTCTTGAATTTTAGTTTGAAAGTTAACAAATATTCAAAAATTTAACTAATTCTAAAGGCCTATTTTCTGCTAAAAGTCAAGAGTGTGATCGTCGCTGTTTTCACGAAGTGACGGTAGTGAAAAAAAATTGCATTCACTTTGCATTACGATTTTCCTCACTACCGTCACTTCGTGAAAACAAGGATGATATGAAGAGTGCAAACACCACCACATACAATTGTGTCTCCCAAAATAATAAGTACCATTCTCAAACAAATGAAACATCAGAAACAGATACCGGTAGTGTGAACACTTCTACGTACATGTACATGTACTCAATAATGTTTCCACTCACCCAATTAGGCCTACATTTGTAAGTGTATTCCTGACATAGTTGAAACGTCAACATATGAACCGTGTGATCATCATGACACAAAGTTACCTCACCCTTGCCTTAATTAGGCATGATTCTCACTAAAAAGGAAACGTTAATTTTATCAAGAGTGCAAACATCAAAACCCTCGACTGTTTCCCTAACTAAGCATCATTCTTACAAAAATGGAACATCAATATCTGGAGAGTACACACAACACCATAATCCAAATCCCTTTCCTAACAAAGCATCATTCTCATACAAATGAAATGTCAAGATCAACGGACAGTATGAACACATCCGCTTACAGACCCAAATATAAGTTGCCCAAGAAAGCTGGCTTAATGAGATTGGAGTGCTGCGACAAAGCCAGCTCATCACAGTCAAATCATCCCCAAACGCATGGCAAATTGCTACGATACTTTTTAATCCGATTACGGCATTACGCATGTTGCCGTCCGATTCCAGGATGGAGCAATGAGTCTCCAATACATGATTGTACAAGTAGGTCTCGGGACGAATCCCCTGCTTCTTGTACATGTATCAACAGGGGTTTTTGTTTTGCCAGTACGTGTATACTAGGCATGCATGTACATAGCATAGAGATTCAAATTGAATTTGAAATTTGAATTTATTGATACATCTGTCATGAATGCAACAGAAATTCTTTCTCCATTGGTTGAAAAATAACAGTGATCATGTCATAGAAAAATTACACATGTTGTATACATGTACAATTACAAATATACATTGTGATCACAAAACAGAAGAAAATACAAGAGGTTTCAAAGAAGTTTCAAAAACCAATGTGTTTCATACAATGGTGTGTAAATAAACAGAGTTTATGATTGATTCAGATCACATGTGACCCTTACATGTTCATGTTAAATGTTGTCAAAGTCCTTGCTTGATTATATTTATCTCAGTCCTGATAGTCTACATTTAAGACCAAGATGATTTTTTTTCTACTGACACATCTTTAGTAGATGTGTAGTGAGTGACACTTTGACACTGGTAACAAAAAAATTTAAAAAAGAGTATCAAACGTCCCTAATGATCCTTGCATTTATTCTCTACAAAATCCAAATCCAAATGAAATCTGAACCAAACATTTGTTTTAAATGCACAAGGTCATATCGAATTGACCAAATAAGAACGTAGGCATACATGCAGATTAATTTTGGTCCAATGCATTTCTCATTACTAGAACTCAACTTCATCTTCAAACATCACAAGACACACTTGTTGAATGCACTATAAAATTGAATCAAAACAAGTAAGATAAAATAAAATTACCTTATATTTACATCCCATGCTCTATTGTATGATAGAACCACTTTTCCCACGAGAAAAACAAATCTTCAAGGAGAGCAATAAAAATCAACTGCTATATTCAACTGGAAAATGTAGCATCACTTTACACCATTGTGTGATAGAGCGTGAGAAAGCAGCAGATACAATGAAGATGTTTCAATTGATCAAAACTCCAGATATAAATGCAGATCAGTTTTTGTAAGAAAACATGACACAAAAAACCACAGCATGTATCGTTGTAACAAGCTGTGTACACAGAGGATCTCGAAAACAAAGCTATTGAATTTTGCGAGCTCCTCGGAGAGATCTCCTCGCCTGATCGTCACAAAGCAACAACTGGCCATCCCTGGCTCGCTCGACCTCAATGAAAACAATCTCCCTAAGCGAGCATTGCAGCTAAAGATTGGAGAGAGAGTGCCGGAGTGGGTAAAAATAGAAAAGAGTGAGAGAGAGAGAAAGAGAGAAAGAGAGAGAGAAAGAGAGAGAGAGAGATATAGATTGTGTGCGGGCAGAACCTTTATATGAAAAGGAGAAATGTGTTACAAGTAGAGAGAGAGAGAGAGAGAGAGAGAGAGAGAGAATAATTGAAAGTGTAGACAGAACCTTTAAATGAGGAGAAATATGGTACAAGTAGAGAGAGAGAGAGAGAGAGAGAGAGAGAGTAAAGGGATGATTAAAAAGAGGAGAATGGAGCAGTAGAGTTTTAGAAGCGTGAGAATAGAGTGGGAGAGAGAGAGAGACAAACAGAGGGTGTACATTTAGAAACAGTTGCACGGCTATGAACTAGACAATGCATCTCTCCATCTCTCTCTCTTCTCTTCTCTTTCTTTCTCTCTCTTTCCTCTTCTCTCTATGT